TATATATATGCACTATGAATCAGAAAATCCGATTATATGTATGATATTTTTATACTTAAATAATTTATTTATTTATTTTGTTTTTTTTTTTTTTTAACAAAAATGATCGCCTAATAAAATTATAAAAACAATTATGAAAAATGAATATCCTATAATTATGCTAAAAACATATATATATACATACATGTGTTAACGTGAAAGATCGAAATTGGAGAATGTCAAGATTCACAGAGTAAAATGTCGACATATCATTTTAAAACACTTTGATGAAAGAGATCGAATATTACAATTTATTTTTATACATCAATATTAATTTTTTTTTTTCTTCAAAAAATCACTGGTAGTCTAGAAATTGATATAAAATACGCGTAAATAAAATATACTCTCAACGTCGCGAAGAATAACATATTATATTTTCATAATCGTTAAGAAAATTTACATAAATGGTAGTTGTGCGTCGTTCTCGACACACGTACCCTTCAATTTAAATAGTGCCACTTTCGTTCTTGCCATACGCATTTTAAACTAACGTAATTCGTTAGTAATTATAATACCACCAGGTTACACGCGAATAAATCGTAAATCGTAAATCGTAAATCGTAAATCGTAAATCGTAAATCGTAAATCGTAAATTTTCTTGCATTAAATGGAACCCCTTATATTTGAGAAAACGAACGACGGATGGAAGAGGGAGGGTAGAAGGAGGTACAGGGGGGGGGTAGGGGAGAGGACGTTTGAGTATTTTAACATCCATCACGGAAGAATAGAAAAGCTAGAAATATTTATACGAGTTTCTGAGCTCGTTATTGAACATCGTCAAATAGAATAAGGGGTGAGGGTGTGGGAGGTTGGGGGACGGGGTTAAGGAAAGGGTGAGGAAGAAAAAAAACAGAGAAAGAGAGAGAAAAAAAAAAGTAGGACGAGTGGTATTTCGGTTGTTGAATAATCAAACAAAACAGCTTGTCTGTTAGAGGTGATGCCATCGAAATAGATCTCACGTTGATGAAAACTATTCATTCGTTAAATGCGATCACACCACAGTGATCATTTTAATGCGAGAATGATTTTCAAACGTTAGTGTCATTGTTATTTCAATGAAAATCTTTCAAGGAGGTAAAGATTTGTAAAGAATGTAAGAGAAATCGTTTTTGTTCGTAATAATAATTTGTATTATTGTTTTTTGTGTTATTGGCTCTTTGCATTCATTGTAATGCCGAAAAATTACTAGCAATGACTGATTTCTAGCTTTGACGGTAACATATATTATATCGGACAGTTATATAAATAATCTTTCTTTTCTTTTTTTGTTTTTTTGATTTATTTAGAGTGGAGAATGGTTACGATTGAAAGTATTGGAGGTGCAACCGGAATTAACGAAACTCGGTTCTACGGTGAAAGAAGCCACAGAATTGTCAAACTCTCACAATGAAGTTCTTTTGCGATTGCAGGTAAGAAATTAAGTAATCGTAAATGAAAAGAAAAAAAGAAATTAATAAGAAAAAAAGGCAAATATTAAATAAAAATAGCAAATAATAATAATAATAATAATGAATATACAAAATGTCGATTACGTATGGATGCTTGAATGTATTTTTTCTTTTTTTTCATTCGTAATATTTGTCAATTTAAAGAATAAAGAGAGAAGAAGAATATTAATGAATAAATTGATAATGCAAATGAAAAAAAAAAAAGTTAATATAATAAATGTTGATAAATCGTTTTATATTTGATGATTTAGAGTAAACAAAGTCCGGTTGAAGAATTATTACGTCAAGCGGATCAATTGATATCAACTCAAAGACCAAGGGCTGAAATTTATGCAGCTATGGCCGAAACTTTGGGTCAAGCGTGGCGTGATGTTAATGATTTGTTGGAAAGAAGAAAACAAATTCTCGATTCGAACGTATTGTTTCAATGGTACGTATTACGATATCGATTAACACTAACAGAATTTAAAAATTGTTTGCGAGAAAGTGAATTAGGATAATCATATCACGAAGGATAATATAATCGTTGTATTTTGTTTGAATAGTCGTGCAGATGAATGCGGAGAGAGTATGAAAGCTCTCGAGATGGCATGCAACGATCATTTGTTACCAATCGAAATTGAAGCAGTGAAGAATTTTCTTTCGAAGATACACGATCTTAGAAAGACCATGCTCGAAGCATTGATGGGTGCATTGCAAGAAGGAAAAACTTTGTTGGATAAATTAAAGGAAATTGCTAACGAAGGTACTTTGGATTCCAGACCGGATAAAATCAAAATTGACGCTGATCACGGTAAGTCAAAATTGTTTGATAACATTGTTACGATATATTTTCGCGATCATTTTTATATTTAAAATTATTTACAAATTCAATGAGAACTCGCGTTTTAATATTATAATAAATAAATTCAATAATTTTAATATTTTCATACTTTAATATTTGTAGAATTTGATAATCATTTTTTAAAGTAGTTTACGATAATAATCGTAAATTGAAATGTATAACTTATATCGAGTTTTTAGGAAAACAAAGTAAAACTAAAGAAATGGTGATGGGGGTTATTAATGAGCCTATTGGTAAAGAGAAATTGTAGGCGGAGATAAAGTGGGGTCTCTAGGGAGGGGATTTTTACATTGAATAATCTTACTACCAACAATATATATAACAATCGTAATAATGACAATAATATGTAAGAAATCTCATATAGAATTACAAGTTATAAATGAAACACGCTTGACCGTGGTCCCCGCGTGATATTTTATCGTAAACCAAACAATTGTCTGATTGTTAGGGGGAAAAAAAAAAGAATGATAATAATAAAAGCATAATAATGATAATACGACAATAATAACTGTATAACGATTATATTACGAGAGAAAATAATATTAATATGATAATTTGATAATTAAATTACACGATGACAATAACAAATAATAATAATATTACGAATACAATTATTTTTACGATAAAATAATTTCGAATGTGGTTCAGTGTGTTTGTCTACGTAAAATTTTTCTAAATAAAATCTACGATAAAAATTAAATGCAAAGAAATATGATTTAATTCGTTTGAAATTTCAGCCGTGTTGAAGGTAGAAAGATGGTTGGAAGATCTTCACGATAAAAGACGTTTGATAGAAGCTTCCTTTCGTAGTAGAAAAACACAATTGGAACAATGTCTTGCGCTTGCATTATTGGCTACAGATTTACGAGATTTGGAAGAGATTCTTAACGATAGAATTTCAGCATTGTCCAGCAGTTGCGATCAATTAGGTGACACGTCTTCCAGTGCAGAATTACTTCTTTTCGAATTGAAAAAATTGCAGACCGAAGCTAAGGTACTTTTTGGTTTAATTCATTTTTCTAAACTCGTTCAATCGATATAAAAAAAAAATAATTGAGGGAGGGAGGTGGGGGGGGGCTAGGAAAAGTTAAACGTCTTATTCATTGAATTTGTTTTGTTTCCTTCAGGAGTTTCAAGATCGATCAATCAAGATTACGAAATCAACAGAACGATTGGTGTCATCGGGACACTTTGCTGGTGAGCAAGCTACCGAACAAGCATACGCTATACTCGGTGCTGCGGCCGATTATGTCAACGATTTGGATCAGTATGAGACATTGTTGAACAGAGCAGTGGCATTTTTCGAGGCCGCAAGATCGGTCAGTACCTAAATCGTTCATTCAAATGACGTCATCTTGTTGTTGATTTAGTTTACCAAATCTATGACACCCTACCCCCTACCCCCTCCCTTCTACCCTTTAACCTTTTAATTGAGGATGACGAGTTATATCATTGTAGTACTTTGAAGTATATAATAACATTTATATTTGGTTCGTTATTCATCTTTTTGATATATAGAAAAATATATATATATTTAGGATTTATTAATATTTCAATATAATATTGTATTAGGGTGTTATAATAATTGATGGACCACCCTGTATATTTATATATTTAAAATTTTGTATTCCTTATTAATATTTATTTAAAACACAAATGATTATATTTAAAAAATATTATTTTTTTCTAAATATTACAACATGAAAAAATATTAGAACTTTAAGGTACTTATATTCATCTAAAAAATAATAAATTTATTATTTAATATATCTAATAATTTGTTGTTTGTGTGTGTATGGGGATTTTTATGAACGTTAGGCTATTACGAAATTGGATCAATTGGAGATTCAACTGGTGACGACAGAACATCCACCGTTTTCAACACGCTTAGCACGTTTCCATGGTCAAATGGTTAACACGATCGAGGATGTTACTTCTAAACCTTTGATGGAAGGATATGCATTGCTAGATATTACGGGAAGAGGTGCGCCCGGAGCTGAGGTTAAATCACGTCATTATTTCTAAATGTCTAATTATTATTACGTCTTAACGGTTAATAGGTTTATCTAATTGGTCTATACCTTTTGTTTTGTTTTGTTCAATTTAACAGGGTGTCAGACGTACAGTTGAAGAACTCGAGAATCGTAAGATACGTTTGTTACAACGATGCACAGCTAACGAGGAAGAAAATCTTGAGATATCGAGAATGATTAATATTTTTATGGAAAAACACGATGAATTGCACGTTTGGTTGAACAACATTGCCGATGCTTTTCTTAAAGGTCATCAGGATATGGGCAGCGATCTACCAATGGCCAATGATTTTTATAAACTTCACAGTCAACTTTTGGATGATTTAGAAAAACGTAACAACGAAGTGGAACATTTGGAATTTGAGATATTACCGATACGCGAAAGATTGGACGATTCGCAAAAACGTGAATTTCAAACGAAAATTGTCGAGTTGCAAAATTCGTGGAGTAAAACGAAAAATATCGTTGCACGTAGGATAGATTTTGGTTATCTTTACGTACAGTTTCATGAAATAATTGACGAATTGAGAAATAAAATAGAAACGTTTGAGAATAATTTGGAAAATTGTAATGACCTTTTGAACGAATCTAAAATCGAGGATTTGATTAACAAATGGAAAACACTTCAACCGATTTATTTAAGATTGTCCAACAGTGGCAAAGTTTTTCTAGACGAAGCTGCCAAGGTATCTTGAAAAAAAAATTCATTTAAATTAAATATTTCAATAGTGTTGCATAATTATTTTCTAGGAATTTGAGATTTGATATACGAGAATATTATTATTATATTACTTTTTTTGATATTTATTTTTCAGATAAATGATCCGTATTTGGATGTAACGAGAGCATGCTTGTGCGTGCAAACATTGTTGGAAATCTTTGCAAACAGGCAATTAACAATCACGGAATCTTGGGAAAAATGGCAAACGACTATCAAAACGTTGAAGGAACGACGAATCGAACATGAACGTAAAATCGAAGAAAGTACTAGGGTTGGTTGATTCATTGGTTTATTTTATTTTATTTGATTAATATAATAATAATTGTTTTGATCCAAAAAAAGAAACAAATTGAGATCGAATCGTTACTTAAGAAAATTTGGTAATAAACGATACTTATATAAAGTAACATTCAAATAATTCTATTATATTTTTATAATTAAACATTTCAGACGTTAGAATGGGTTTCGAAATTTGGCGAACAATTGTATCCAGTAATAACGTGTCAATCGATACGAGTTGATTCAATACTCCGTGATTTGGAAGGATCCAAAAGACGTATATTACCTGAATTAAACAAAGCAGTTGACGAATTAGATTCAAGAATTAAAAGTATTGATAATTTGGTAGAAAAAGGTGAGGAACAATCTTATCTTAATCCTTTAGTTTTCATCTTTCAAGATTTATTATCTATAATTTTATTTTAATTTCGAAATTCGTTACATTTATCAGGTGAGATGCACGTAGATCGACAAATTGCAGAAAGATTATCACAGATGTACGAAAAATTACATTCCACGGCTGATAATTACAAAGATTTGTTGACATCATTAATTTTAATATTCGAAAATCTTCACGAACTCGAACACAAAATAGAAGATGCTAAAAATAAAGTCGATCATGTTACGTCTTATACGAAATCGTACGACGTGGATTCGGTTTCGAATGATTTTGAAACGATCAAACGAACAATTGCGGATTCTTTGAAACGTATTCAAACGGAAATTGAAGTAATCATCGGTAAGATTAAATTATTCGAACCAACGGAAGCTGCTTTACAGGATATCGATAAATTGAGATTAGCATTGGACAACGTTGTTTCACCTTTTCAATCATTTACCGTTCATACGTTAACCCGCATCGAGGAACATCGTAGAATTTGCATATTCGGCGAAGATCTTTCGCGAATCGATTCGGATTTGCGCGATTTGAACGATCAATTGCAAACCGTTGATGCGAAATTTAACGAAAATTTGCAAGCTGCCAAAACGGCGGCCAGTGCTTTCAATCAATTCGAGGCAACTATGACGGTAAGTTGTAATTTTAATCCGAAAAAAAAAAACATTACAAATAATTTAATAAATTATTTTTATCGTTGCTATCATTAATTCGTGAAATATTAAATTATGAATATAAAAATGAACCAAAAGTTCGTGCATTTTTTTGTTTGTTTCTTTCTTTTTTTAAATTAAAATTTTACGAACGAAAAAAAAAACTTACAAACCATTATGAAATTTGTAATGAAAATTTGTAATGAAATAAATGCACGAACTTTTTTTGAATTAATTATAAAAATATATACGCCTTTTTTTTACGACGAATTTTGCATAAATATTTATTATTATTATTGTTGTTGTTCTTTATACAATTTTATAGATGTTGGAACAAAGAATAGACGTATTTGTTAGAACAACGGAAGAAACAATAGTAATTTCTACTCCGCACGTTAGAAACGATTTGACATCGTTGAAGGAAAGATTCAGGGATTTGAAATTGCGCATGGATAATATTAAAAAACGTATGGCATTGTGTATACAATATTTCGAATTATTGGAAGAAGCCAAAGAATGGTATAGAGAGGGTGGTAAACTTTTGATAGTAATTGCAAGGAAAGCTACCAGCGTGAAAGTTCCGAAAGATGCTATGAATTTGCTCGAGGAAATCGATAATTATTTGAAACCTGGTGAACAAAATCAAGATAATAGAATTGAAAAATTGAAAGAATTGTCAACGATTACCTTTGGTATCGACAGATTACCTCAATTCAACGAAGTAATCGTTGAAAATCGTCAAATGTTGGATTCGTTCGCGGTTATTTCGTCGGAATTGCGTACGTTGATTCAAAATTTACAAAATGCCGAAGATTTGAGGGAAAAATTGAGAATGGAAAAATTAGAGGCCGATGAAAAATTAAACGCGGTTAAAATCGAAATGGCAGCTGCCGAGGCGGCCAGAATGGAAGCTGAAAATGCGAGAAAAATTGCGGAAAAACTTGCTGCCGAAACTTTGGAACGTGCTGAAATAGAAGCCAATAGATTGAAAGAAGAACAACTTGCTAAGATCGAAGCACAAAAAGTTTCATCGATACCGAAACCATCATCATCACCGCCAACGTTATTTTCTGTATCAGCACAAACGGATAAATTTGATGATACGGATGAAAAATATATTCACGAAACTCATACGTCGTCGGCTGTTACGAAAAAGGAAATTCATATTTTGCAAAAGGTACAAAAAATATATACGAATATAAATATATAAATATATATATATATATAAAATATAAAATAAAAACAAAAATAGAAAACAAATTTATATTTTATGATTTATATTATTTTATATATTTTATATATTATATGAAATAAATTATTAAATAAATTTGTATTTCATATAAATTAGACATAACACCTATCGCAATAATTAACACGACAATTATAAATTGAATGAAATTGAATCGTTCAATTGTATTTTAGATGGAAATAGAAAAGATCGTACCGATCGTACAAAAAGAACCAAGCCCACCGAAGCAAACGATAATCGAAGAATCCCATAAAACAATGGTGCACGAAATTGAACAAAAGGTATCCCCGGAGTTTACTATTCCTTTGAACGATGCAACCGTTCAGGAAGGTGAAAGATTTACTTTCGAATGTCGTTTAATTGGATATCCAATACCAGAAGTTGTTTGGTATAAGGATAGTATATCGATTTTAAATAATCCCGATTATCTTACAACTTTCCATCAAGGAATTTGTACTCTTACGATAGAAGAAACATTTGCCGAAGATTCTGCAAGATTCACTTGCAAGGCATTTAATAATCTTGGATCTGCTGAAACATCTGCAACGTTAACGGTAAAAGGTAAATAATAAAAGTATTAATATATTGAATTTTGTAATTTAACAAATGAATCAGAACGAATGTTTCTATTCAAATAATTTGTTTTTATCTAGAAACTGCACCCGAGGAACAACCAAATCCTCCTGTTTTCGTCAAAGAATTAAAACAATCTACTGCAATTGAAGGTACTTCCCATAGATTGGAATGTACGGTTGAAGGAAATCCATTACCGACAGTTCAGTGGTATAAAAACGAAACCAATATCGATAATTCTCCCGATTATATTATAACATATAACAATGGGGAAGCTTGTTTGAGTTTTGAAGAAGTATTCTTAGACGATAAAGGAATTTATACTTGCAAAGCTACCAATAGGCTTGGACAAGTGTCTACTTCTGCTGTACTTAATGTAAAATGTAAGCTTTTATTTATTGTATCATATTATTTTTAATATGATTATACAATTTTTTAAATTGTTTTTTGGATCACATACAATTGTAATTATTATTTATTGGATCATACTATTTTTAATATGATTATACAATTTTTTAAATTGTTTTTGGATCACATACAATTATTATTATTATTTATTCGAGATCATATTATTTTTAATATGATTATACAATTTTTTAATTTTTTATTTTGGATCACACATACAATTATAATTATTATTTATTGGATTATACTATTTTTAATATGATTATACAATTTTTTAAATTGTTTCTTTGGATCACATACAATTGTAATTATTATTTATTGGATCATATTATTTTTAATATGATTATGCAATTATTTTATTTTATTCTTTTTTTGAGTCATATACAATTATTATTATTATTATTTATTCGAGATCATATTATTTTTAATATGATTATATACAATTTTATTATTATATTATTTGTATATTTAATTGAATTATACAATTTTATATTTTAAGATCAAATGTAATATTTAATGTTATAGCCATAGAAACGTCTACGGAAAAACCATATTTCTTGACACCATTATCCAACGCTATGGCAAGAGCAGGACAAAGAGTCAAATTGGAATGCGAAGCTACCGGTAATCCAATGCCAGAATTATTTTGGACCCATGATGGAAAACCAATCGATGAGACCACTCACACCAAAGTAATTATTTTCTAATGAGAAAAATGTTGATTTTAATGTTTTATTATTTCTTTTCTATTACTTTTTTGTTCATTCGAATGATATGTTTCATTTGTTAATTGTTTCAGATTCAAACTGAGAGTGGTCGAACAAGTTTGATCATTTCTGAAGCATTTCCAAAAGATGCCGGTTGTTATACAGTAACAGCTAAAAATGATGTTGGTGATGCCAGTGTATCTTGCAATGTATCGGTTAAAGGATTACTTCGTCGTGAAACAAGTGATTCCGAATTTGCTTGTAGCGACATGGAACCAACAGAACCTAAAATTCAATTACGTTTAAAGGATCACGAAATTTTCGAAGGACATGCTGTAAGATTGGATTGTGTTATAGTTGGTCAACCTGAACCTGAGGTAATTCTTTGTTCCATTTAATCAAATTTTTCTTCTATATTTTTAAATTAATATCATTATTATTATTCATAAAAACTGAAAAGGTTTTAAAAAATGAAAAACATTGATATTATGATTAAATTCAAATGAAATAATTTATGTTACTAAATAAATGTTATTATTTTATCGACATTATTTTAAAATCTATTTTTAATATTAACGAAATATATTTGATTTAGGTGATCTGGTATCACAACGATAAACCCGTAAAAGAATCGGCAGATTTTCAATTATTATTTCAAGGTGACAAATGTTCTTTGATTATTCACGAAGCTTACGTGGACGATGCCGGTATTTACAAAGTAGTTGCAATTAATTCTGGTGGTGAAACTTCTAGTCAATGTACATTAAAAGTATTACGTAAGTCACGTTAGAAAATTAATTTATACAATCAATTAGATTTTTAAATTGATTTGATTCACAAATAATTTTACATATTATCATTAGGAATTTCTCGTAATTCGGAAGAGGTGGTAGATTCGAAGGATAAAAAAGAAGTATCCGTTTCTTCAACGGTACCAAGTTCACCACCGAAATTCGTTAAATTGCCAACCGATTCTTTGGTAGCCGAAGGAGAGGATGCAAGTTTTGAATGTGCAGTAATTGGTGAACCAAAACCAGAAGTCAAATGGTATTTTGATAATAATGAAATCATAACGGATAATAGAATATTGGTGAGTCGTAATTATTATATATATTTTTATAATATTATTCTCGATTTCTCAATCAATTAATTTATTTATAATATATTATTATTATTATTGATACACGATGAGAATAGATTAAAGAAAAAGAAGATGGTACGATTACGTTGAAAATTTTATCAACGATACCAGAAGACAAAGGTAATTACGTAGTCAAGGCCACGAATATTAGCGGGGAGGCTAAAGCTTTTGCCAGATTGGTCGTTCGATCGTTGACCGATTTTAGGAAGAAAGAAGAATTCGTCAAAATGGAAGAGAAATTGATAGCACCTAGTTTTAAAGAAAAATTTATTAACAGAATCGTACCGGAAGGTGTGTCAACCAAATTTGAATGCATTGTGATTGGAAAACCCGTACCTAAGGTAAACAATTTTATATTCATATACTTTTATTCATTAATTAAATAATAAAATACATATATATATATATATATATATGTGACAAAAAAATGACGAAATATTTTGTATTCATTATACGTTCAATTAACGATGACAAAATTATCGATATTTGTGGATCACTTACGATCAACGTTATAAACAATACTAATCGATGTTACAAGGTCAAATCTTATATATTACGAATGAAAAGAATGTTTTTTTCTCTTCGATATATATCTCGAATCGAGTATTAGTTATAGAAAGGTTGGCTAGACTGTTAGAGGAGGTAACCGACCAAGAGTAATTTCGTGCTACCGGGTTATATTTAAACCTTGTACCGATGTATCACGTTTGAAAATCTGCGAGTGTGCAAGAAGTTTACGGAACGGAACGGAACCGAAAGAAGAAACTTTTCGGCAGAAGTTCGTTCGACTTGTCGTCGTTCGAATCAATCCATCTATTCATTCATTCATTCATTCATCGAGAAAAAATGTTATTCGTTGATTAAATATTAAATACATATATCGAATATATAATTAAATACAATAAGAAATAATTTTTTACGAGAAGAAAAAAGAAACGTATTGAAATAAAAAAGAAATATATTTTATAATTTTCGATATTTAGATTCAGTGGTTGTTCAACGATCGACCTGTCCATGGAAAAGATTTCTTAGTTTCCGTTAGTGGAGATCGGCAGGTATTGACCATACCAGAAACCGGAAGTTCGCATGCTGGAACAATATCCTGCGTGGCGGAAAACACCGCCGGTAAGGCCACTTGCAACGCCAAATTAGAAATCGGTGAGTTTATTTATTTATTTAATTATTTTATTTGTCTACTCATATTTTCTTTCGTTGTACAATTTAATCATCGTGTCTCTGTTGCACCCCTTTTAAATCGAATAAAAATTGCCAAATTAATATTAATACAATTACGTACAACTGGTTCAAAATAAATTGTTCATAAGATTTAACAACCGTCCAAAATTCCCTTTGAAACTTATATTAATATTAATATTAATACATTTTATTATACATTTTTTTGTTTGTTATTAATACATTTTATTTTCGTGACAAGTGTTATAATAATATGTTTATCGATAAAAATTTCATTCACGATAATTGAAATAACGTAAAAGTCAAGTAAAATCAAGTTATTCAATATTTTATAATTGTAACAACGAACGCGCGTGTGTGTGTGTGACACACAATTGCCGTGACACAGTTTTTTTTTTTTTTGAAATTCGATAGGGTCCAGCACTATTTTTGAAAGTAGGAATCGGTTGGTTTGTCCTTTTTTTTTTTCCTTTTTTTAATCAGAAATCTTTTATAACGTGTCTAATTTTTTTCAAGATTGTTTTAATACTCGTATCGGTTTAATAAAACAATTTAAAATTATTCGATCAATTTTCGATTGAAACTCGACAACGAAATACACCAATGATTTCAATATTGTGGGTGAGTTAACAGAAAGCGCAAGCGCAATTCTTAAATACGATCACCAATTTATTTTTAACCATAGGGTGCAGTTTAACACCACGAGAATTTCTTCATTTTTCGTATTATATTTTTCGATAGGCTGAATATACAAGAGACATTTATTTATTGAGTCACATCACTATAAGTAGATTATTTTTTTTCTTCTTTTTTTTTTTTTTTTCCTTACGATTACAAGATTGCCATTTGATTATTATTATTATTTTTTTTTACAATCACCCCTTTCGAATTTTTACATCGCAAAATAATTCTTATTGATAATAATAATATAATGATACGGATTGAGAAAAAAAAAAGGTAAAAAAAATAAAATACATTATGATATAACGTAGAACACTTTCGTGATTCTTCTTTTTTTTTTTTTGGTTAAATAAGTTTGTAAGTTTAATACCAGTCTCACGTTCTTTTTTTTTGTTTTTTTATTTCTTTCAAATGCACTACTATTACTACTACGTGCGCGTACACACTAACAGAATGTACATGTAGAAACCGTGTTATTTTTGTCGGCACGAATACCCAATACGTAGCTTAGTATAGAATCGCTAACCCAGGGAATTTAAATGATCCTTCTTCTGGGTGTTAAAATCCTATTAAAGTATTACCTTACCTGCATATTGAATTTTGATAGAAATGATTATAAACGTGCTAAAAGAATTGACAGACAATTTTTCTTTTTCTTCTTTTTTGCGAGTGTCTTTGGTTTTGTTTGAAAAAAAAAAAAAAAAAAAGACCACGCAAAAATTTGTTGGTTTATTTTTTTCTTCCCCCCATTTCTCTTTCCCCTATAAATCTTATTAAAGAGAATTTAGTTTACAAGAGAATTCCCCGATATGAAAATACGTGTGTAATATGAATCAACGCCTACAAGGTTTTCCAACGATTAATTTAACTTATCCAGGACAGGTCAGATTTGCATATTGCGATCTAGATAACATAGAAATGCATTCCCCGATCTTTTAGTTAGTTTAAAACTTATGCATTTTGGTAACTAGCCAATGCGTTTGGTTTCACTCGAATATAGGATAAATTAGAAACGTTTGACAAATAGATAGGAATTATGTTTCTTATATTTAATTGGTTCTTTTGTTTCTATTTCTTCAATTTTTATATTTAATTGTAAATTTATTTTACTCTTCATTCATGTGTAATATTTTTACAATTTATATATATATATATGTATATGTATATAAGATTTGAGTTACGCAATAACGACAAATTCTAACATTTGAATTTAAGCAGAGGTTCCTATTGCGTATGATTAAATTGTGCCAACTATTAATACATTCGTGATTTGAAAGAAATCGATGCATTTATAGATTCCACTGTCAAACAACAAATAACGATCGATATATTAACCCTCTTCCCCTTTCGTAATATTCTTTTTCAAAATAGTATGAATATGATTCATATTTATCTTTATTTTAAGATATTATTCAACGTTTTTATTTTGATATACTCATGATTTGAAAATTATATCCAATTGTTTAACGAGGTTCGATTGACACGTTGCATTTTATTATATGCGTTAACGATTATTTAAAAAAAACAAACGAAACATTTATCACAACAATTTTTGTATTTTTTTTCTTTTTGTATAATTCATTATCGTTTGAAAATCGAACTTGTACAAATTTTTCAAAATTTCAATGAATTTATTTAAACGCACAAGATTATTTTCAAAATTTTGTTAAATTTCTTTAGAAAAACTTAAAATTGTTGGATTGTTATAAATCGAAAAAATTGTCACGCGATACGATGAGTAATTTTTTAATTTGTTTTATTCGAAGGTCAAGTATTAATAAACAATACGACGATAGATTTGATCTAATAATATTATTCAATTAATCATTATCATTATTATTAGGTATAGAACCGAAGAGGGAGGAAGGTATTGAAAGGATAGTTGAGTTGGTTGAAATAAAACCTGTCGAAGACATGCACGCGTCAAGTAGCAGCGATAAACATTTTTCGGCTGAAAAAATGTCGGACGAGGCTGGATCGGGTAGTCAAATTTTAACTAAAATGTCACAAACCATTACGGAATCAAAAACTACTCATACATCTACGAAAAAGGAGTTTATGTCATCGATGATGTCATCGTCAACGGGAACACCTGGACAGGAACCTACCAGTGTTACTGTCAAAAGTACTGTTCATAGTACCGAACAATCAACTTCTGAAAATAATGCACCTCCCGTTGTTCAGGTAATATATTTTCTTTATAATATCATTCTGATCAGAAAAATGTCTTTGATAAAATCAGTTACTTTGTGAATTAACTGATTAATTGTTTCGTGTGTGCATTTGTATGCATTTTGATTAGGTAATGTACACATTAAAGTATAGTTAAATAAGATGTCTTTATTGTAGAAATATTTTTACGTTAAATAATAAAACAATGTTTTAGTATTAGACAGAGTTTCAGAAAATCTGATTGCAAATCTAAATGTATCGTAAATATAATAGGTGTGTTAAAAATTAATTGTTATATGTAATTCAAAGTGTTAGAACAATCTTTACATTAATTTTATTTACTTTATTTATTACTTTTTTTTTATTATTATTATTATATTGATCTTTATTGTTAGTTTTAAAATAAGAACGATATCAATATTATTTTATTGTCGATTAAAATGGAATAAGAATTGAATTATCAGTCGCAGAAAATCGAGGAATTCGAAAAGATTATACAAGATCAACCTGGTGAAATTCGTCAAGAAAAAACCGTCGTAGTGTCGCAAGGTGAGGAAGGTATAAAACGTGATCCGAAAATTGTTCAAGTTCAAAAACCAAGTAGAAAATCAACGGCGCCTAGATTTGTATCACCGTTAACGGGAATGATAGTTGATCAAGGTGCCGATATTATTCTCGAAGGAATCGTTGATGGTAAGGATAACAAAATATTAAATACATTTGTAATATTTAAATCTTTTACTACGAATTGTAATTGTCAATGTGTTCCACAATGTTGACAAAAAGTTTTTTTTCAAAACTTTAACGTGGTTTCGTAATAAACGCGTTGTAATCAATTATTATGAAAATACATTTTATAATATTGTTTTTTTTTTATTTTAATTTAATATCGTAATTATTTAAAATTTTCTCATAACATTTATTAATAATAATTATATATAGGTTATCCGCAACCGAATATTTCTTGGTCAAAGAACGGACAAGAATTGCAAGCTAAAGATGGTGCCAAGACGAGTTATGCTCACAATCACGTACGATTGGAATTGAAAAATGTCAACGTGAAAAATGCCGGACGTTACACTTGCACTGCCAACAATGAAATTGGTTCGGCGAGCAGTACTGCTGATCTTGTCGTCAAAAGTAGGTAACCCAATAACAATGAAAAATACAAATCGTATAAATTAAGATTACAAAAGTAACAAATCATTCGTGTTGCTTATTCAGAAACAATCTTCCCACCTGTATTTGGTAGACGTTTGCAAGCACAAGTTGTTAAACGTGGTGATCGTGTTCTTATGGAAGTTGAAATTACTGGAACACCAGAACCTACAGTGAATTGGTATAAAGATGATATTCCTATTAAGGAACAACCACCAACATTGAGAATAAGACAACAAGGCAATTGTTACATACTGCAAATCGATAAAGGTGAATTACACATGAGACCCATACATTATATTTTATAATTAATTAAGATACGAAACGTTCAATTAATCAAAACTAACTTCTAGTTCTTTTTAATGTCCAAATTTGTATTAAAATTATTTATTAATAATTTTATTTTTGGACGAGAGAAATAACTAATTGAATTATATAATATATATATATTGTTAATATTTTCAGCTGAAAAAATACACGCCGGAAAATATATGGTACGTGCGATCAATGCTGGCGGGGAAGCACAAAGCATAGCAGATTTTGCTGTTTTCGAGCCGACACCTGACACCATGACGGAAGTACACAAAACTGTTATCTATGAGAATGTTCAAGATAAAAAAATTATCCAGGTAAGTTATATATTATCTAAGATTATACATGATATATTAAAACATGTTAAATATATTATATGAACAAAAATTCGATATAATTATTGATAGTATAAAAAAGAATGTGTATAATTGTACGTAGCCTGACGTGCAAAAGGTTGATGTACCGTCAGCAACAACAACATTGAAGACTGACCAGATAACAGGGATGACAACGATCCAGCCAAGTTCAATATTAAAAACTATTCCAACTCCTAGTCCACTAACAACAACAACAACAACATTACCACCACCACCACCATCTTCCTTATCCACAATCCGTAAAACTGAAATTATCGAAGATATTCCAGAAATGAAAACGTGCCGATCGGAAACCATTTCGTCAACGTTTGAATCCCATCAAACGGAAACTAAATCGGAGCAAAAGTTTCACATGAAATTAGAACACAAAACTCCGTCGTTAATCGAACCGAAAGCTCGTCCCGAGCCAACGACCACGGTAAAAAAGGTTGCTAAAGAAGAATTCATTTCAAAATATGTCGAACCGATAACACCTTCTGCTACCACCGTGGAAGAACAAACGAAAATCGAAAACGAAAATATAGAGACATCGACTATCGCGAAAAAGGATGCTTTAAGTTTTTTCGAATCAATTACGAAGGAGAGTGAAAGTGTACCTAAAGGACCCAAAGAAATGATTAAATTGACCGAGGATACCGATGGAAAGGGTCACGAGATTAAAGTTGGAAAATTAACTCAAAGTTACGAACGATCAACTGCGTATAAGGAAATCAAAAAACCCGAACCGAAACCGATGGATTTTCAAACTACTAAGAAATCCGTTCAAGATATTTTCACCAAATTGGAACACGGATCCTCGTCCCGTGGTGTTGATAATAAATTATTCGATTTCCCGTATTCGGATTACAAATCACCATTGTTGGATACTAAAAAAACAATGATGGAAGATATCACAGTATCCAGTACACCTATTGAGAGTTCATCAACGTTTTCGAGATTAGAAACTAAATCGGAAAGTAGTGAAACTATGATGATGAAAGGATTTAATTTAGTACCGGAACCGCCACCTGAAATAGGATACATGCCTAAACCTGGAGAGATTAAAAAAAAGAGCCCTGAGGTACCGATCAAGGCCAAACAACTTCAAGAATCATTCGAGAAAACTTTATCACCGATAGATGCACCGATTGGCGGTGTTAAAATATTTCCAACGATTCCACAAAAGATTATAGAGAGTCCTAAGGTTGTAAAAAAACCATCAACGATGCCACCACCGCCATTTGAATTAGATAAAAAGGAAATTGTTGAAGAAATATGTATTAAGAAGGATGTTCATGAGAAAAAGGATGGTAAAATGTTAAAGGAAGATAAAATAGAGTCACCAAAATTTGTTCCAGCAACGAGTATCATCAGATCAGTTTCACCTAGCAGACCTTGGTCATCATCGTCAGACGTGGAAACGAGATCTCACGTATCCACGGATATTTCCGAATACAGGTGTCACTCAGCTGCGTCCAGTCATCAAGAAATATTACGTTCTATATCACCGAGACCCTCGGTCGATGGTTTAGCTATGGAAAAATCATGGGCAAAGAAGAATACCGAAGCAACGCGAAAATCTTGGCCACCAACACCACCACCACCGAGTGATTCCACTCCAACTGGGATTAAACAATTTCCTACTGACGATTACAAAACTTCGACGAAAGAATTTAAACAGGAAACCGAACGTACGCCAGATGGTGGTATCAAAAAAACTAGCGTAGAATCATCCAGTAGTTTGGAAAAACATTCATGGAGTTCTAAACAGGAATCAATGGAAAAAATTGCCATGGAAAGGGCACCATCCCCGCCGCCTAAGGTACCACCGATCATTTACAAAGCTGAAACGATTAAAGTCGATCATGCTATTAATACGATTCAAGAACAATCAATGCACGAAAAGTATATCTCGGAATGTGACGTAAAGAAACAATCGAGTTCGGAAAAGATCGTTGAAGAATATTCTTTGAAGAGTCCATGGTCCGTTGATACCGATTTAAAAGCACCCGGATTGGTGAAAAGTGTCGAACCGCCTAAAAAAATATTCGTACCTAGTCAAGAATCATCGAGAAAAACAGAATCTTATTCGTATGATTCGGTTATTTTGGAACCTGGCCCACCGCCGGAAATTGGCTACGTGCCACCGCCAATGGTAAAAGAAAAAAAAATGGAGAAATCTTTAGAAATGTCATTGGAAACCAAACCGGCTAAGATATTATCACCTGGTGCTATTAGAACTATACCGTCATCGGTTGCCCAAAAAAAGGAAGAAGCACCACCAGTCTTACCACCCAAAGATGTTAGAATCACTCCACCGCCATTACCCGCTAAACAATTACCATTGGATAATTTAGAATCATTTCCGTTTAAACCATCAGCCTCACCAACGACTGTAACGACGAAACCGATCACGAAACTCGTTCCACCTGTAACTACGCCAACTAAATTTGTTAAAGGAACTTTCGGTAGTGATTACGAATCCGACATGGATATTCATGTTAAACCAAAATGGCGACCATACGAAAGCGATAGCGAAGAGCCACGTTATCGTAGAGTACAAGCACCAGTTTCCAAACAAACTGTTAGACCAAGATCAACCGAACCCGAACCATTACCACCATCCAAATTTGACACACCCCCGGTTGAATTTTCAGGCCCATCCAAATCTCTATTAACCGAAGAATCACAACAGAAAATGTATAAGAAAACAACATTTAAACGTCACGAAAGGGAAACAAAACAACAACAACAACAACAACCGAAATATCAACCAAGTCAACCCCAAACTCCACCGATTCTTTTAAAACCAGGTTCCCCGCCGATTTACGTTCAACCAACAACCAGCAAACCTCAGCCACCTAAATCTCCACCAACGAAGAAACCAGAATCTCCTAAATTCAAGATCAAAACTTTCCAACAAGAAAGCGGTTACATGGCGGATACTGATGAACCGTTGCAACAGAAAGCATCAAATATTACGATTCAAAAAAGCTTTGGGAAACACGATGGTTCGAGTAGTTCAGCTAGCAGTTCCCATATGGAATCTCGTACGTCATATTCCGAGAGTAAATCCGAATACTTTGAAAGTAAAAGTTATCATAGTCATCAACAACAACAACAACAACAGAAAAAAGAAGTATCATCTTTCGTTCCAATTACTACTACTACTACTACTCCATCTCCTAGTTCTTTTCCTAGTTCTTTTCCTAGTCAAAAACCTGCACCTCAGCAGAGAACATCGTTTGTCGAGAAAACATATTCTTCATCGAGTGGAACCGAGCCTACTAAATTAAAAACTGCGAAGGTTCGACGACGTATTTCTGGATCTTTTTGTTTTTTTTTTTGTTTTTTGTGTGTGTGTTAGTTTTTTTTTAGTGCATATTTGTAGAAATATATTATTTTGTATACCTCGGCAAAGCAATTAACAATTGAATCCCCCCAAGATATCAATTGATTAACATTATAGAAATATTATTAATAGTATTAATTAGGATGGAATGATACTTTCGTGCATGAAAGAGAGAGAGAGGTATGCTTTATCTAAAGATTATTTTCTTGTTTTTAGTGTGCACACAAATAGTAATCGATGTTTATCTGTGTTTAGTTAATCGTTTTGTGCTTTTTTTTTTTTGTGTAGGTCAGGATTGTCCAACTTACAATAGTAAAGTTCTTTAAAAAAATCAATGAGATTTTTTATATAATTATTTTTATTTAATTTCGAACAAATTGTTGATTAATAAAAAACCAAAAGGTTGGATAACTCTGGCGTAGATGAAATGAAAGTTTAAGATTTGTTAGTTAAACAATGATCATTTGTTAATTAAAGTTCATTTAATTATCTCAAGTATGATATTTTATTTATTTATGTTTTGAACAGGAGACAGTTTTTACCACGGATAGTTCTTCCCATCGTAAAATGGAAACTACGCGCAAGGTACACGGGCCCTCTCCAAGCCCTTCCAGATTTGTCAAGGGCGAATTTCGCGAGAGCGATTACGAAAGCGATTACGATGGTAGAATATCGTCAATATGGAAACCCCGTACTACAATCGAGACAGATGATCGTTCTTTTAAACCAGTGAAACCTACTCTAACTGGTCCAGGTATTTGTTCAATTCAATTTAATCATTTTATTTGTCCAATCCGTTAGAAACGTATATAAACAAACTCACTATATATAGTTTTATTTAAAAAAAAAAAAAAACGTCTCTATATTATAGAAAAATAATGACAATAATTGAAAAAAAGAAAAAAAACATTTAACGTTACGGTTTAGATGTAGTAGTACTCCTTAGATTATAGATTTTCATTTTTTTTATTTCCATTAACTTATTATTTTCATTCGTTTTAAAATAATATTAATAATAATAATAATAATACTATGGGGACGGTGTAGTACTCCTTAGATTACAGATTTTCATTTTTTTTTATTTCCATTAACTTACTATTTTCATTCGTTTTAAAATAATAATAATAATAATAATAATAACTATGGGAACGGTGATGGGATAATCTTTTAGAGGATTTTTGTTGTTGTTGCTTTTTGTTGTCAAAATATAATAATTCGTGGTAGAGATCAGTACAATAAGGATATAAAAACGAATTTTGTTCGTAACAGGTGAACATTTAATTGGAAATTGACCCTAATAGGACTCTTACTTTGCAAATTTTTTCCAGCTTACAACAAGTAGACACCTCCCGGCAAGCTTTCTTCTTCTCCTATAGTTGTAAACCTCGCGAGACAAGTTCTCCTATCTTCTTCTTCTTCTTCTTCTTCTTCTTCTTCCTCTGCTTCGCTTGTCTCTATCTATCTTTATTCTTCTTGGCTACTCTCTAAGTACGTACGTTAGGTTTTAACCCCCGCTTATATTTCTAAAAAAAGCATCTCAACGTATGTAACTTTTATTACATCCAATATCATATCATTTTCCGCACTTTTCTTCTCCTGCTTTTATTATTTTTTTTTCTTTCTTTATTTATTCTCTTCTTCTATGTTTTTTTTTTTTCTTCGTTCGATCGATACAATTAATAATTTTGTTTAACTCACGTCCCTTGCGAGATTTTTATTTCCTCGGGGGGAGAAAATCATTTAAATTCGAAAACAAAACGCAATGCAACGCAACATGTGGGTGATACGACGAATGAGGGGTTGTTAATGTTAATTAAAATTAATTAATAAAAGAAAAATTGCAAATGAACGAACACAACAGGAGAAAGGCCCCCACCCCGATGTTCATAAAAAATTTATTGTCGAATTTTATCTACGAACGAGAGGGATCACATCCGGGAAATATTTTCTACTTAGGAAAACATAAGGAACCGATCGTGTCGACATCAGCTGATAAATTAATCGAAGGAACGTCGTCATCGAGTTACGATAAAATAACATCAACGATGAATGAATTCGAACAAGATAATCGGATAGAAGAAGACAGATCAATTGTTACACCGACTAGGATTAAACAAGTTTTGTTACCTGGTTCACCGCCTGAAATTGCATACGCTCCACCCCAAGGTCAAGAAACGTATTACGAAGCACGTGCAGGTATGCCTTATCATAACGCGATTGGTACGGAAACGAGGAAGACCGTAAGAATGGATGAATCAACGGAAAACAGTAGAAGAATCGTCACCGTTGAACAAACAAGTCGAGTTATCAAATTTGGTGATACCCAGAAAAGTACTACGAATGATTTAGGATCACCAATTGATCATAAAACTAAAATTCAAAAACAATCGAAATCATATTATCGTGTACCAACGCCGAAAAAATTTGTACAAGGCCAGTTTCGGGAATCCGATTACGAGAGCGATGTTGATTCAAGTAGAATCCGACCTAAATGGGCACCAGCTGACAGCGATTCGGAGGATCCGAGATACAGAAGGGTTCAACCACCTTCTGGTAAAAGTGTTAGGTCAAGTAGTCTTCCTGTTAGACAAGAACACGTTGTATCACCATTGGAATTTGATACTGGCCCACCACCACCATCATCTACCATGAAAAGACAAACATCGATGACACAGTTACGCGATGAGATCCGTACGAGCAAATTAGAATCTAATAAGTATCAACAGCAGCCATTTTCCAGGCATGACGAATCGATTTTGCAACCTGGTTCACCACCGGAATTTGGTTTCGTATCGAGGACCGATGTCGTCAAAAAGGCTGCCAATCGTAAGGGCATTTTCTCATCAAATCCTTTTTTTTTTGTTTTCTTCTTCTTTTTATTTCATTTTATTTTTCTTTATTTTCTATATTAAATGCTAAAAGAATCGAAACCAAAAAAAAAAAAAAAGAAAAAACAAAAAGAGTCGATATTTTGATCACAATAGACAAATTATTTCAGTTCATATACGGTTGTTGTTATATTGTAAAATATGACGTCGTTGATTGGTATGACACACAGATGCATACAAAAATCGTAATTATTATATTCGTAAATGGTATTTCATTGTTGCTTTAAATATCAACAAATAACTGCGTTTCTCATTTTACTCTAATACGCATTCTTCCAATCATTATAACGTTACACACACACCTTTTTATATTCTATATTAATTTCATCGCTCTTTTGACGATTGTTTTCTTTTTTTTTTTTTTATTCGGCTTGATTTTTTTTTTATATACATTTTCCATTCTTTTTTAATCTTCCTATGTAAAATTTCTTCTATCACTTGTTTTTATCATAATCTTTCTTCTTTATTTACACACACACACACGAACGAACATATCTCCTGTTTTCTCTGTCTCTTTCTTGAACAAACAAACAAACAAATAAAAAAAAAAGAAAAATATTTGCTGACAAGCTCACATCACATATCCCGTAACACGAGAAAAAAAACCAAAGAAAAATCTGAAACATCCGCAGACGTGGCGTCACGTCATATGAGCGACATGACGAGTACCTTCAAATCGAAGACCGAAAAATTCGTAAGCGACATCCAATCGGATCTGAAGCAAGGTAAACCAATCTTAAAACATCCCGCTGAGAGTCGTGTTAGCGATGGCGACGAGCCGCGGACATATAGAGAAGAATCTCGGGTTGCTGAACACGGTAAACACACATTCAAAACATATGACTTTTTCTTGTTTTTTTTTTTCTTGCCTTATTGTAAAACATAAAACACATTTAAATAATAATTCGTTTTTTTTTTTTTCTCTCTTTTGAACACATTAATAATTTGAATCTAATATTGTAATAAAATTTTAATCGAAATATTATATAGAAAGTAAATTATCATTGTGGTAAAAAAAATAATTTAAATCTAATATTAATAATATTATAAAATATAAAATAATATAATCCAATGAACGAGATGTCACTACTACTACTACAGGAATGAAGCAAATCGATCCGGATACTGGATTAATATACTTCAAGTATGACTTCGGTTATGAATTTGGCATCGTATTACCTGGCGAGGGTAAAAAAACCTTAACAAGTACCAACAAAACGATCCAAGGTCAAAGACGAGCAAGCGATATCGAAGTTCCGATAGTACACGAATTTACAACCAAGAAAGAAAATGGTTATGCTAAAAAAGGTAATGGAATGTCATCGTCATCAACACGTTCGACTAAATCGGCTAAATTTGGTCCATCGAAAACTGTTAAATGGGAACCAACATCCGAGAGTGAATTTTCCGAAGCCGAGGATACGAAGAATTCTAGAAGAAGGTATCCTGGGGTTGGTGGTGATTCTATTACAACAATGCCACCACCACCAAGTTTGGTAATACCTTGTTCACCGTCACCATCCAGATGGGATCACACTACGCCCAGTCCACTTTCCCTCAGTCCAAGTTTGCCGAGTCTTTCTCCCCGATACAGTAGTGCAACTGGACCACCCAGCAACGTGGATTCTGCAGGTATATTACCTGCCTTCGATACACCTTGCTTTATTGTTTATTCATTGTCATGCTCAATTGACATCTGATTAATATTTTCAGATACGTTATATCTCTGCTTGATTGCATTATTTTTGCTTAATTTTGTTCGATGACCATTCGCTTGAAGCATTTTTAAAACACACACACACACACACATATATATATATTATAATTATTATTCGAATAATTCTGGAATATTTGATAACGTTCGTAAAAATGCTACAGAAATGATTTCATGTTTTGCATGAGAATCGTAAAGGGAATTGAAAATTAATAAATAATTATCGTAGGGAATTTGGACATTCAAAAGAACTAGAACTTCGTTTTGATTAATTGGACGTTTCGTACCTTTGTTGGGATTTCTTCAGCAACTGGAAATTTCACTTTTTTTGTTATTTTTATATTGTGAATTACATGAGACCCATAGATTATATATAAAATATTAGATGATACCTTAATAATAACATGAGACCATATACATTATAAAATATTTGATAATACCTTAATTAAAGGTCTCTTGTAATTCACAATATAAAAATAACAAAAAAATAAAATTTCCAGTTGCTGAAGAAGTCAAAACGAAGTTCTAGTTCTTTTTAATGTCCAAATTCCCTACGATACTTATTTATTAATATTTTTATTTTTGGAGACGAGAGAAACAACTAATGGAATTGAAAATGTTTGCCAAGTCTACGATAAGGAAACCCATCATTCCAATTATTGACTAACTCAATGCGCATTCGTATATTATTCGGGCATGGAATTTGTGTTTTCCCATCGATTAGGGGTTTTTAGATATTGGATTTTTTTTTTTAAACATTTTTTCATTGCTTTAATCAGCTCTATGATTCTGCCTTATAATATAGAAACTAGGTATGGGGAAATATCGGAATGTAATATCATTTGTTTTGGTAGATTTGTTTAAATAGTTGAAATAGAGTATTATTTAATTGAACAGGTTCGCCATGGCCAACGAGTAATGGGGTTTCATCGACTAAAGAAGTTATTCAGCCTTATCTTGAAATATTACCAAAGAAGGCACCACTTTTTATCACGGTAAATTCATTTCCTTGAAAATAAAAATCTAAATAATAATATTCGAGAAAAATTATGTTTAAAGATATTTGAAATGTAAATTTGATATTAGCCATTGAGAGACATCGCTGTTGTCAGTGGACAAACCGCTAGATTCGAGTGCATAGTTCAGGCAGAACCACAACCAAATATTTTATGGTCTAAGGATGGCAGAATCATTGAAAATTCATCAAACTATGAAATACATTATAGAAATGGTGTATGTCGTTTAACCATCACTCATGCTTATCCTGGTGCGTTTTATTCAATCGTGTATCATACTTTTTGTTCAAACAAATTGTATATATATATATATATATATACTTTGTTGATTTATAATTTAACAATTTATTTATTTATTTTATTTTAGACGATGCTGGGACTTATGCTTGCACTGCGACAAATGGTTTAGGATCAACCGTAACTTCCTCTACCTTGCAGGTCCCAGGTAACAGACGATCAATATACGCACCTATTTAATGATGATGGAAAGGTGGTAGTATATTTAAAAACAAAACAAAAAAACACGAAGGTGGTACAGCAAAAGAGAAAAACAAAAAAAGAAACAAGAAAAAAATATAACGGTACAGCTTTATGGTCATGAGGGGTGGTGGAAAATGTCTAACCTTCTATCGTCCATGGGATTTCAAATCGTCTAATTTCTCTTATGTTGTTTTTCTTATGAAAGCAAGCTTGGATTAATTGATTTTTTTTTTTTTTTTTTTTTTTTTTTTTTTTACGTCAATTCAACTCTCATAATATTTTTCATCGATTTCGAAAGATCGTAAAATCCAAATTATTGTTTCGAAGTACAATGTTTAAATTCATACGTTATTTCTTTCCTTTTGATTTCAACCAATACGATTGTTTTGTATTTTTTTAATCAATTTTCGCAATTACGGACGAGAAGTTCTAGTCAAATCGTAATATGAGAGTGTTAAATACGAGAAGAAAATGAAGAAGAAGAAGAAGAAGAAGAAGAAGAAGAAAAAGGAGAAAGAAATTTTCTTAGATGAGTTGTTATTACGAAAAGTTGGTGGTTGTTTTTATTTTTACTTTTACTTTTACTTTTTTTTTTATTATTTTGTTTCGTAGCCGCGCGTCATGAAAAAAAAAAATATGTCTTAATGAATAAATGAAATGCATTTTTGTCGTTGCTGAGACTTTTTAAAGACTTTCGAAAAAAAAAAAGAAAAAAAAAAAGAAAAAAAAAAAAAAGAGATTAATAATAATAATAATATTAATAATAATAATAATAAATCGCTTTCATAGGCTATTATTTTTCTTTTCTCTTACGTATTATTTCTCTTGCATTTTTCCTTTCTTGCTCTATCTCTCTCTCTCTCTTTCTCTTTCTCTAACTTTTTTTTTTCTTCGTCTATCCCTGTCATAAATAAAAAAAAAGACAAATTGTCTTTTTCGTTTCTATTTTTTTTTTTTTTTTTCCCCCATACGAAATTATATTTATAAATTCAAGTAAAGTGGATTAACTTGCACGGTTAAGTGCATTACAAATGTAAACAAAAAGATGAAAGAAAATTTATTTTTCTCTGTCTTTTTGTAAAAATGAGAAACGAGAAGAAAGAAAATCAAAAAGAAAGAAAGAAAGAAAAAGAAATAGAGAGAAGATTCTAACAAAAACGAAAAAAAAAAAAAAAAAAAAAATAAACAAAAAAAAAAATAAGCGTTCATTATTCACATTTCTCAAATCGTTTTAAGCAAAAAAATATTTTATTTATTTATCTATCCTCTAAGTGTCCTTGTTTGTTCAAACGAGAAAAAGAAAAGAAAAAAGAAAACAGAAAAAAGATGAGAAAGAAATGCTAGTCACATTTTTTGTTACTTATTAAATTAAAAACAAATTTAGACGAACGGATAAGAAGAATATACTATTGGAAATTATTTTTCATTTTCGCATATTTTTTTGTTCTTTTTTTTTTTTAAAATATGATAATTAAATTCGATCGGATCGATACGATTGACGAGATGTGCGTATATGTGTGTGTGTGTGTTTTTTTTTCTCATTTTTGGTATTTCCACGTTATACTTATTTATATTCATTCACATTTATCAATTTTATTTTCGATTAAATAAATGATGAATTTATGTGGCAAAGATAAAACAAAAAAAAAGAAAGAAAGAAAGAAAGAACGAGAGAAAAAAAACAACACGAGATTGTCGTAACGCACATTCGTGAAAAAGAAAAAGAATAAAACATATACAGATCATTGTTACTTGTTCTTATCATCGTCAACGCTATTGGATATACTGTGTAAATAAACGTGTGCTTCCTCTGCAATATAAAAGCTGGGTTTTTATGGTGTAACAATTTATTTTTTCTCTCCCGCCCTGCTGTCGCACTCTTATCGTATAATAATAATAATAATAAAAAATAAAAAAAAAAAAGAAAAATAAAAAAAGTATTTTGAAACATGGTCCTCCTTCTTCATGGTTAACGTTATATTCGTACCTTTTTTTTTTTGCATGTATATAAAATATCACGAAGTTATAAAAGTAAGGTAGTACGGATTTGTAAAGAGAAAAAAAAATAAAATTGAAAATACTTAATCGTTGAATGTTTTGGGATTATAAATATGATAGAGAATAATTCAGTAGAAAATAATTCATATTAAAATATGCACGAATGATCTTATTTACAATTAGTATAATACATATATATTTAATAATTATTGAATATCATCAGAATCAAGATTATGAGTCATTACTAACACTTGGAATCATTACTAATGTATCATTTTTGGGTAACGGGTCACTTATTGCACGTATATATACATAAATACATACACTCATACATATATATATAGCAGGTATGTTTTAATTTAACATTTCTTTCATTTGCAGGAAAAATGACACACAGAGTATTTGTATATATATATATACTATATAATAAAACAATATTTATTCTAAAAATTAAACGCCATTGGTATTAAAAATAAATCCATGTGTCATTTTTCTTGCATACCAAAATGTAATTTTTTTCTTCTTCAATGTAAATATATATACTTACGAAAAAAATAATTATCCTTTATATAAATCTAAATAAATAAATATAAAATTAATATCGATGAAATAATATTAACCAATTTTCAACGTAAGATATGGCAAGGTAAATCGAACCAATTAAAAATTGTTGAATCTTTTCTATCCTAAGAATAAACGAAACAAAAACAACGTTAAACGTGCGTATGCCGACAATTGTTCGAAAATGTTTATCGTAATATATTTCTTTTTTTTTTTCTTTCCTCCGAATATTAATAAAACAACGCGTAAACGTATAACTTCGCGAGATAATTCTGTTCGCGCAATAAACAATTTAAAAAAAAAAATTCGTAGAGAGAATTAAAAAATGGAAACAAAATAAAACATTTCAATCGAAACGAAACGAACAATTTTTCGTTTATTAGTTTTTCTTTTCTTCCCCCTCGTATTTATTCGATTCTCGAAGTACTTAATTACGCGTGCAAGTAAATCGTTTGTAAACGTTTTCTTTTTTTTTCGTAAAAAAGACAAATTTTAAAAGAGTTACCAACTGTCGTGTGTTATCTATCTGTCTCTCTCACACACACATACACATACACACGCACGCACGCACAATAATTTTAATCTTTGAGCAAAGAGTCGCGATGAAAGAAACGATAGAGGTGGATCTTCGAGGGGGAGGGTTTGGGGAGGGGGGGGGCTGATCGAGGGGGTTGGGGGGTCTGGCACGCGGGGAATGGCCAGAAATAGCAACGCCAATCGAGCAGATTTTGCGAGAGAAAAACGTCGTTTATAAGAACGTTGCACAGTTTATTGCGAGTTGCGTGCATGAGTTCGGATTTTTTTTTCAGAGGGGGGAGTGGGAGGAGGGATTTAGAAAAATAAAAACATTAAAAAATATATATATATATATTGTCAAAGTTATCTGTATACGAGTAATTATTAAAATTCATGACGAATGTGGTCGAAGAAAAAAAAAATAATTTCGTGGGAAATAAATTGAAAATGAAAAAAAAATATTCGTTCGATAAATTATTCGACGTATGTTAAACAAAAACACAAACGTGTTTTCCTCCGGTCTCGAAATAAAAATTCAAACAAATATTATCGGTTCGAATTAACGTTCATCTTTAATAAATGCGAATGTTTTTATGTTTGTATGTGGGGTGGGGGGTTTAATGTGGGGCAAATTGTTTCGGTAAACATTCATTGACAAATATTCGTCTACGAAAATAGGGGTGGTAGGATAGGGGGGAGAGTGGTGGTCGTAAAAACGAATAGCAAGATTTTAGTATTACGGCCAACCAATACGTCCGCAACCGGATATTTGAAACGTGATGTAAAAAGAGCTTTTTGTTTGCCCCCTCGTTAAAATCTGTTGTTATTTCGTCTACCGTCCGTCTATTAGAAAATTGTTCAAATCATTTCAAAGTTTTGGTAAATATTTTTTATACTAAAAGTGAATAGATTGATTACAAAGATGCACAATTTACAGCATTGCATTCTGTCTGACATTTTCTGAACTTTACATGCTAAATTTATAACTCGATATGGTGTTCTACGCGTAGATAAAAGAGTATACTTTAATTTAATATAGGTTTCACTAAAATCTATTCACTTTTAGTATAAAAAATATTTACCAAAACTTTTCAAAGAAATTGCAAAGATGCACAATTTACAGCATTGCATTCTGTCTGACATTTTCTGAACTTTACATGCTAAATTTATAACTCGATATGGTGTTTTACGCGTAGACAAAAGAGTATACTTTAATTTAATATAAGTTTGATTAAAATCTATTCACTCTTTTAGAATAAGACTTTGACGGTAACATATGTATATATAATATGGTAAAGGTTTTGAACAGGGTAAATAACCAATTAATTTGATAAACCACATTTTAATACATAGATTAATTAAAGATCATTGGGTTTACGTTAAGGAATATATGAAATGGAATTTATTTCGAACACGTTGTTATTCGTTTCTGCTTGAAAGATCTTTAATCGTATATCTGTATATAATACAATATTTCGGTATCGATTACGTCATCTCTCTTTTCTTGGTTTTACCTCGAAAAAAATGATATTTATTTAAGTTAATAACACGAAAAGAGAGTAGATGAACAGATAATGAAGAAAAATGTTCGTAACAAGTTCGATTACTTTACTTTTCGTTAATGCTTTCTAACTGATACAAAGGGAACCAAAAAAAATGTATATATATATGTAATATATTAGGAACAAATTCGTATGCAAAAAAAAAAAAAGAAAAAAATTTTAAACAACTGAGAAAGAAATATTCCCTCATCCTAAGTTAAACCCGATTTCAGGTGTATCCCCCTCACAATCTGACAATAGCAATCGATCCATCGAAGAGGAATTATTGGAATGTTCACCGAGGTATGTAGCATTGAAGGATCTCTTTCTACCACGAGAAGAAATCAAACTCACTATAACGAATCATCGACACGCTTCGATATACGAATTTTCTCTGGCACCTAGTTACAGGTAGATTGATGATATATGTATATATATATATAGTTGGACAAATATTGTTATGTGTGTTTTTTCTTTTTTTTCTTTATTAAGTTGACCGAAAGATTCATGCCATTTTATAATAAAAAATATAGATATTGATATGTATTATTTAAAAAAATGTATATGTATATATATATGTACCGGTAGACTAACACGAGTCAACAAAAATTTAATATTACGATTAATATTGATATTAAAAAAAATGATGTATATTGTAATATATTATAATTGTAAAATAAATTTTGTATTATTTTGTTGATTTAGATCATTATCATTATCACCGGCACATATTATATATATATATATATATATGTTTATTTAAATGAAATAAGTTATTTTATTTCATTTTGAATATTTTCTATTTCACTTTATAGCATATTAAAAATATTTTATATTAATAATATTATATTAATATTTTTGATTTTCAAACTTAATGATCAATATATATATTAAACGTTTCTTAATTAAATTTATTTTTATTATACTTTTTTTTTATTATTTAATTTTAATTATATAAAGATTAAAAAAATTCTTTTCTATCAATTCAATAATATCTGTCAAATATATATATATATATATAAATATTATAAATCGGCAAGAAATTTTCTGTACAACTTTTTTTCAAATAGTTAAAACTGCATTCCGGGGTGTGGGTTTAAAAAAGCGGAATTGCTTTTGCAGCTGCGAGGACGGGAGTTATCTTGAAAATCGTGCCGATGAATACGAATACGATGATAGAACGGGAGAGGAATCTTACATTAAACCAAAACGTCTCGATTTTTTCAATATCGACAGAAACGGGACATATTGTGACCTCGATCAGGATTACGAGAGGAACGAGACCGATTTACATTCGCAATCAATTCGCAGGATCGATTCGAACGGTAACGTATATTTTTTTTTTTTTCTTCACGATTATGTATCATAAAATCTAGAGAAAATTATTAATATCACGATCGTCGTTTCTTTCTTTTTTTTTTTTACGAATAATTTGAAAAGAATTTTTTCGTAATATCTCGTGACCTAATTTATTTCATTTACAAAATTATCATTTCAACTATGATTGAAAAAGTATTTCACTGGATTCCGAATAATATTCTATTTCAAGATTTGGAAACTCGAACAAATCTATTCTTTATCTCAATGACAAAATTTATTTTGATTTACTTTAATAAAAGATAATATTAAAATATATTCATTTATATAACAAAATGTTAGTCAAATAATTAGTAATGCATAATGAAATGCATATTAAAATGAATGAAATATTTATTAAACATTAGTCTAATATTATACAAATGATCATAATAAATTTGTTCAAGTTTCGAGTAAAATTTTCAAATATTATACTTTAAATAAGGAAAATCACAGATTTTATTAAGAAATATAAAACTGAGGGTTCGTATTACCATTTCTTTTTTCTTTCTTTTTTTCTACCCACGTAACTACGTATGTAAAAGTTGTACATATCTCTGTGAAGAAGAAAACGAAGAAAAGAAAAGAAAATGTTGTTGGACAGATTCAGGGTCTTAGTAATGATTACTCGTCGTTGTCCGTGAACTGTTAAAATAGAATTCCACGTTTTTCGGTTTCTCTACTTGCAGGTGGACAATAATATGCGCGTTCAAGCTTTAACCGATGTTTTTTAAGGGGAGCGTTGAATCATAGACAGACACGATGAAACACGCGGGATTAGTAACGCCCAAAGAATATTTCACAAATCTCGAAATAGAAGCTCGTTGGTAGAGAGTTTAAGCTTCACCTCGGTTAAATGATGATTCATATTCGACCTACCTTACTTACTGATACTTCCTAAGATATTTCAAAGTTTACAACTATCAATCGAATCAATTCATTCATTTACGCGTTTACATATTTTAACTAATAATTATTATAAATAATAATCACACAGTAAATATATTTAATCAGAATATCTTTTTATATTTATCTATCATTTTTAAATTCTATTGTAATTATTATGAAACACTTAACTTTTTTGCTGATACTTCAAAGTTTAAAACTACTAATGAATACTTCACGAATAAGAATTCAAATAAAAATAAAATAATTTTTTTGATTTCTTACTTGTTGACTTTGTTGTAATTATTACGAAACACTTAGCAAATATAAAATCTAATTTTTGCTGATACTTTTTAAATTCTTTCAAGATTTAGAACTACGAAAGAGTAGATTCTGTTACGTTTGCATTTAACAATAATTATTTTAAATAATAATCCAAATCTTTTGATTTAATTATCACTCGTGGATTCTATTATAATTATAAAACATCTAACTTTTTACTGATACTTTAAAGTTTAAAACTACCAATGAGTACTTAACAAATAATAATTCAAATAAAAATAAAATAATTTTTTTGATTTCTTACTCGTTGACTTTGTTGTAATTATTACGAAACACTTAGCAAATAAAAAATCTAATTTTTGCTGATACTTTTTAAATTCTTTCAAGACTTAGAACTACGAAAGAGTAGATTCTGTTACGTTTTTATTTAACAATAATTATTTTAAATAATAATCAAAATCATTTGATTTAYTTATCACTCGTGGATTCTATTATAATTATAAAACATCTAACTTTTTACTGATATTTTAAAGTTTAAAACTACCAATGAGTACTTAACAAATAATAATTAAAATAAAAATAAAATAATTTTTTTGATTTCTTACTTGTTGACTTTGTTGTAATTATTACGAAACACTTAGCAAATATAAAATCTAACTTTTGCTGATACTTTTTAAATTCTTTCAAGATTTAGAACTTTAAAGAGTAGATTCTGTTACGTTTGCATTTAACAATAATTATTTTAAATAATAATCAAAATCATTTGATTTATTTATCACTCGTGGATTCTATTATAATTATAAAACATCTAACTTTTTACTGATATTTTAAAGTTTAAAACTACCAATGAGTACTTAACAAATAATAATTAAAATAAAAATAAAATAATTTTTTTGATTTCTTACTTGTTGACTTTGTTGTAATTATTACGAAACACTTAGCAAATATAAAATCTAACTTTTGCTGATACTTTTTAAATTCTTTCAAGATTTAGAACTTTAAAGAGTAGATTCTGTTACGTTTGCATTTAACAATAATTATTTTAAATAATAATCAAAATCATTTGATTTATTTATCACTCGTGGATTCTATTATAATTATAAAACATCTAACTTTTTACTGATACTTTAAAGTTTAAAACTACCAATGAAAAATTCACGAATAAGAAAATTAAAATCAAAATAAAATAATATTTTTATTTACTTATCACTCGTAGAGACTCTGTTTGTAATTATTACGAAACACCTAGCAGGTAAAACGTAAGGTGGATATTTTTTTTTCTTCTTCTCTCTCTCTCTCTTTCTTTCCCTCTTACCTCGTAACACGAAACCGAAGGCATTGTACAACGATTCCGTCCAACATCATAATGTCTGAATTACACGCTCGCGCGACTGGATTTGACCTACAACTCACGAACGAGGTTTCGTACGAGTGCAGTTTAAACCGCACTTAGGTTAGACTGTACCGTATGTCTACCTGGACGATATAATCAGGCTGAGCTACTTTGTTGGAATCGTTCGATGATTAAATTATTCAATATCCTATTTTTTGTCCCCTTTTTTTTATTCCTTTTCTTGTTTCAATCGTTTCGAAAATGAAGTAGTCAAAGATGTGATCATTTTTCTGATTTTTTTTTTTAAATTTATTATAATATATATCGATACATTTTGATTGAATTTTGGTATAATAAACTAACGTTATCGATTATGGGTATAATTGTGTAATCATTTTATCGAATAAATGACGTGTAATATAACGTTAAAATAATTATTACATTTTTTATTATTAAATTATATTATTAAATTATAATTGCATATTTTATAATTGGATAATATTAAATATCATATTATTATTATCCACATAATACTTTGGATAATATTTAATTATTAATCAATGAGAATTTTTATTGTATACTTTATGATGATGATGATGATGATGATGATGATGATGATATAAAATTGTATACAATAATTATATAATATTTAATGTGATATTATTATATTTTAATAGAAAAAAAATGTATATATGGTACCATATGTATCGTGATATTGCATGGTTGGTACCAAGTACACAAACGTAAAAAAAATTACATTTACCGTGCGAGTCTGTTAGGACCAGCGCGTGTCTCGCTCCGATTCGCCGGGATGCGGAATGCTAACGGTTGGACAACATCATTTCTATACACCTACATAACTCTATCGCATGATACGGTAACGATCTGTCAACCGGCTAAATTATTCTCATACTTTTCTTTTTATTTTCTTTCCTTCTTCTTCTTCTTCTTTTTTTTCTTTTTCCTCTATCATCAAAATTAATATTAATAAAATTTCACCAAATATCTTTTACGAGAATACCGAAGGATCAAAGTTTGCAATACGAATATCGATGTAACGGTAAATAATCGTTTTCAAAACTTGATTTCTAAAACTTCAAATTATCTTATTAACAAGATTAACAAGTATAAATAAAAATATTCAACAGAAACAGAAATAATACAATATTAAAATCGTGTTAATTGAATGTGTAACGAGATTTAAACCTACAAAAAAAAAAACTTTTATTACTAATATTCACAAATAATTGATATTTTTTAAAGATATTTTTGAAGATATTCATCAAAGTATTTTAATATCAATCATCACCGTATGTAATTCATTAGAATAAATAACTTAAAATCATAAATCACAGAATAAATTATTTTTATTTGTATCGATATAAAACACGTGTTGTGTATAATAAAAATATTCGAATATAGATATCAATCCAAACTAAATGTAAAGGAAAATAACATATCTAATTACTTCATGCCGTAAATTTGAAATCGTAATCCCCATGCATCATAAATACCGGAAAACATGGTATCACTTGTAGAACTTTGTTTTAATCGGATTAAGCACGCATCATAAAAATTCACTCTCATCATTTACTCCCAAATACGCCAAAAAAAAAGAAAAGTATAACTTCAATAAAATCCTGTATACTCGATCGTCGTAAAACACATAAAACGAGGGGTAAAGAAAGGGATGCTGTTAAATAATTAAACTCGACGTTACAATTAAATTGAACGACAAATACAAAAGAAACAAAAAATATATATAAAAAAAAGTATAACTTCAATAAAATCCTGTATACTCGATCGTCGTAAAACACATAAAACGAGGGGTAGAAAAGGGTGCTGTTAAATAATTAAACTCGAAGTTACAATTAAATTGAACGACAAATACAAAAGAAACAATATCAAAATAAAAAGGAAAAACAAACAAAATTATTCGAGTTAGTGATTCGACAGAACGAATTAAAAGGATGCTTCCTCGCCCTACAGTCTTCAACACTTTCCCCCTTGAGTCCCCCCAACTCCCCCAGACTCCCTCAGACTCCCAAACTCCCCTAGCCCGTTCCCCCAGGTCCCTAGCCACCCAGCCCACCCATTCGTATTCACTTACGAGTATTATTACACCCGTCGTCCCTTCGTTCTCGTTCTCGTTCTCATTCTCGTTGTTGTTGTCGTTGTCTTTGTCTTTGTTGAACGAGTTTAAAGCAGACCTCCTCGTCAGCAACACCTCGCCGCAAAATGCGTCGGTTTGATCTCGAAACTATTTCATCAAGGGAAAGAGGCGGAGGGAGGGGAGGGGTGAGGGGTGAGGGGGAGGGGAGAAGGTGACAGGGTTGTTTCTTCATTGGTTAAAACTTGGTTCGACCAAGCTTAAGTATAATACGTGCAAACAGAGTTAAAGTTAGGCTCAATGATTTACACGTTGGGTTATTATTCATTTCTCGAACCTTTTCAAGGCCTATGCCACCATACGTGCATATGGGTATATATATTTTTTTGTTTGATTTATTTCTCTGTTCCATTTTCATTTTATTTTGTTTTTTTTTTTAGTTTTCTTTTTAACGTTTATTCTATGAAATATATATCTAAATGTCAATGATAGATGAAGCAATATGATAGTAATCGATATCGCGAAAGGTAAGAACGACAGGTGAGATACTCGTGTCAATGATTATGATCGTTCGTATGAGTACGTAAAATGCATTTCGAAAGATATAAGAGAGAAAGAGAGAAGAGAGAAATTGAATAAGAAGAAAGTAATGAGGATGAGGTCCATGGGGTGGGAAAAGGGGAAGAGATATAAATACAGACTATAAATGATTGTATTAGTCAACTTGTGTAAAGATAGAAGGAAAAAGGGAGGAATGTTTAGAAAGAAAAAGAAAGAAAACAATAAGTATAAAAGAGAAACAAAGATATAAGTGGATTTTAATTGACCGGTAAAGTTAAATAAAGTTTCATCGTTGAATAAAGATGCTTTGAGAGAGAGAGAGAGAGAGAGAAATATAGTTCAGAGAAAATAAAATAAATATTAAGAAAAAGATTGATCTTTGATATGAATTAAATAAATCATAAAAAGAGCGTATAAATATAATATATGTGGCATATTTGATCAGAAAAATACGGAAAAATAATGTAAGATATATATTCGAAAGGAAAAATATTATTCGTAATAAAGAAAAAAAATCATATATCGAGAATAAAAATAAATGATAAAATAATAATAACGTATAAATATTGTGTTTGGATATTTTTGATTCGAATTTTTTAAAACGATTATAATTAAATGTTTTCTTAATTAATTTATAGATATATATATATATAATTTATTTAATTCTTATTATAAAGATTAAAAAACAAAAATTCACGCGTGTTAAATTTATTACGAATGATTAAACATTCGATATACTTAAATGTGAATAATCGTAATAATTAATTAATTAATATTCGCACACACAAAAATACACGTGACATATATATATATTGTCAAAGAAAGTGTAAGAACAAGAGTTTCGTGATCTTACGTTAGAGAAGTGGGGAAAGGATTAAGTAGGAGGTGTGAGGAGGTGGAGGGAAGGTGGGGGGAGGTGGGGGAGAAAATGCGTAGACGCGTGGGCGGTTGTCAGTGNGGGGGGGGGGAGAAAATGCGTAGACGCGTGGGCGGTTGTCAGTGTGCGCGAGAACTGCGTGAGTCGCGGGTCGTTTCATTGCATCGTGTCATCAACATTGTCGTATAGTTTTTACAACAAAATTGCATTTAATTCGAACAAAAAAACATGTACTCACATATACATACGTTTCTATAATTTCTATTACATCGAAAAATATAAAATTGGGGAAAAGAAATTTGAATTTTGTTGGGGGGCGGGGAAGAGGATTAAAAGAGAACACACATACAAATTATTAAAATTAATTTAAAATATATATGTACGTATTTTTTCTATCAATTAATTTCTATCGTTGAGTATAGATATTTGAGAAAATAAAAAAAAAGTAAATTACGAGTGCACTTAATACGTAACGTTAACAAATTTTTCCTCGGGAAACATATGTGCATAATTAAATAAGTATACCATTAGCTGATATGTTGTAACCTAATCAAAAATCTATTTGTTTGTTACTTTTTATGCAAAGAAGAATTAAAAAAAAAACGAAACGAAATGAAATGGGGTTGACTTGAAATCGACGAAATATTACAAAAGAGAAAGAGAGATAGATAGAACAAACTCGTACAAATTTCGACGAAAAAGAATCAATGTCATTCGTTTATTATTACAGTAATTTTGTATTCATGCAAAATTGTGCCTGAATTTCTTCGAAGATTTAAACACGTTACTAAGTAAGAACCGCCTACGTCTTGTTACGAAGAGCCAAGGCACATTTTTTTCAACTATAGTCACGAACATCGGTTATTTTTATTCCCCCAACCCCTCCCCCTCATCCCCCCTTATTCCTCCAGCCACTCGATAATCGCGATTTTTCAAATCATCCGATTAACTGATTATATATTTAATTATGTTAATCGTGTATATACGAATACGGTAGGATTAAAAAAGATCAATTAAAAATCAAGCCAATGATACATACATTATTTCCATTGTTTACGTCAATTTTCTCGATGTGATCCTTACAAAAATAATTCTCTCTAATTCGATTGAATATTAAATTAAACGATAATAATAATAATAATAATAATAATCCATACACACATATAATAGTTTAATGAAATAAAATTAGAAATGAAATTTGTATAATGATAATCGATCAACGTATAATCGTTAATGTTACGTGTGTTTTTATTAGAAAAAAATCAAAAAGTGACAGAGATAGTGTAAGAATTGAGACTGTTGATAGATTCATTAAGTTAATACGAATGATTTGATTGTAAATTATACGTCATTGTATCATCTCGTCGTGATAATAATTTTCCGCGTGTGAAGAAGCGTCGGGACGTTTTCAGCCCAACCCCACCCCCTATACCATCCCACTCTACCCCCTATACCATCCCACTCTACCCTAAGAGAGTCGTCTTCGTTACCCCCTCCTTTGCAAAGAGGGAGAAGGTTAGCAGGCACTTCGTACGTTTTTCGAACTCGTCTCGGCTAGCAATTCGCATTCGACCGACGTCTTGGTTTAAAGAGTAGTCTCGGGGATTGAGTTTAAAAGATGACTTGAGTTGACTTCTGCCGACTGGAGTGAGATATATTTCAGCGAAAATATTCGAATCTATTAGCCCTTTTTCAATATATATATATATATATATWTYKMGAKATWWTATATATATATATATATATACCGCGAGTGATAAGAAATAATATTTTTTCGGTTGTTGTTGAGAGTGTACATTATTAATTAATTAATAATATTCCCCCCCGTTCCTCCCCGCTGCCTCGCCCCCAATCCTCAGAGAGATAAAAGAAGTTTTCAAAGTTTAAGAAGAAAAATAATAATAATAAGAAGAAGAAGAAGAAGAATTTTTGTCAAACGTTTGCCCGGATTGGACGAGGAAACAATTCGAGGGTCAGAAAATAACTGATACCCTCTTCCTCCCTCTCTCTCTCTCTCTCGTTATCTCGTTAACGTTTTTGTGAAAGACCGATCTTGAACGTTGTTTTTTAAATCAAAATGAAGCGACAACAACAGCAACAGCAACAACAACAACAACAACAGATACAACAGCAACAACAGCAGCAACAATATACGCAACAAAGAACCGAACGACAGGTTACTCGGCAACAGATCACCAGTCAGCAGAGAGGTCAGTTGTTCCACCCCCCCCCCCCCATGGTATTTCATCACACACATTTGTCCGAAAATTAACGAAATTAATTCTTAGAGAAGGAAAAAGTATGTTGAATTATATTAAGTTAGAGGGTGGTGGGGAGGGGAATAGAAAATTGAGATATTTTTTTATTGCGTAACTTGTTACTACTGTTACATGACAATCCTGCTTTTTTTCTCTCTTTTTTTTTATTATTATTATTATCTTAAGTTGATCATTTCAACGTTTATATTTGTTTGTAACAAACAAACAAAAAAAAGATAAGATTTACCATTTCGGTCTGTCTCTTAATTTGAAATTTCTTTTGTAAAAAGAGTAGAGTAGAGTAGAGAAGCGAAGTGAAGAGAAGAGAAGAGAAAAATATCCCCCTGAAAGTAATTCTATTTTCGAAGCGAGAGCACCGCCTCTGCGAAGAATCTAAAGATAGATTTTCCGTGCTCTTTCTACGCCACGTCTTTTGAAAATTCCTCCACGCGTTGCCCTCTAACTTTAACCAAGAGTGTCGTCTCTGTTTCCCCCCTTCATCGATACAAAAATTTTATATTAACTATAGAGAAAATATATAATACAAATTTTTTGCGATAAATCTATTCACAAAAAATAAGAAACAAATGTGTTAAAATTGTAATCATACGTGTATACCCATTTGATTTTGACATTTGTATTATACTGTCATTATTCTAATCATGGAAACGTCATTTTTCTTGACGTCATTGTTGTCGTTCGAAATTAATCATTCTTTATGAATGTATAAAAATAGAGAGAGAGAGAGAGAAAAAAAAACAAGTAATTATTTCAATGATGCAATGTTAAATTCGTTTCAAATACAATTTTAACATATATTCGATATCGAAGAAAAATTTCCAAACCCCACCTGCTCCGAAAAAAATATTCATTTCTTCGTATTTGTCTGACGAGATAAATCGTAGTCACGTACTAACGAAATGTTATAATCTTTTGAATTATTATCTTTTCCAATATCTATGATATTGGAAATATTCCAACAAATAAACAATGTTACAAAGCACGAATTGAAAATTGTCCTCGGGATGGATAATCATTCGTATTTACATTTGTCTATAATATTATTGCACGATTCGATGCAAATGAAATCTATGCCAAAAGCATTGAGTAGTCAGAAAAAAAAAAAGAAAGAAAAAAAGAAAGAAAAATCTGATGTCCTTCCTTCATCCCCTGTGGTGTTCATGAATCATGTGCCGAAATAACACTCGACTGTTTATTGTAGTTAGAAAGAGAGAGAGAGAGAGAGAGAGAGAGATAGAGAGAGAGAGAGAGAGAGAGAGAGAAAGAAACGCGTGTTGTTACTTCAGAATTGAAAATAACACCCCCACTGCAAAAAGTATAATTTCATAATGTTATTTTGAGAAACGTGTGTTAATCATTTCTAATTCGTATGGATTTCGTAAATAAAAATAGAAAAAACAATTCATTTTATAATATCTATAAATAAGAAGACAAATCATATTTCTCATGGATACATTTCAAACAGGGTTTTTTAAATAATTATGATTAAATACTGAACACACACATAAAATAATTCGTCACAATTGTAATTTTATGAAATTAATCAGTAATATAGTAATGATTCCATTTAAATTATACATATATATTATATTATAACATTTGGTTATAATTTATCATCGTAAAAGTCAACTAAAAGTGATTTGGCTAATCGTTTAATTAATTTCTGTTAGTAATAATAAAATTAAACGAGATTATATATTGCAACACCTGCGAGAAAATGAATCTTCTCTTTCAAATTGTCTAATAAAATGTCAACGAACGATAATACGTTTATGTATCTAAAAAAAAAAAAGGAAAAAGAAATTGCATACGACATTGGCTCGCAATAGTGCCAACATCGGAATTTCAATCTGGCCGAATAAACGTACTCGTTTTCAATTTGGCATTGATTCTTTTTTCAAGTAAACGTCAAACAATTTGTATATTTTTTATTATAAACGTTTTAACATATTTATTCTAACGAAAAAGATCTCTTACAGAACGCGATTGTTGATTTTAAAAGTTTTAATATGATAATAATTTTCTTCAATTTTTATTAATTGTTTTTTTTAACTTATCTTTTTTTTCGTGTTATTTCAATATTATATATATATGACAGTTATTTGCGTGAATATTACGCATTGAAAGAAAAAATAAAAAAGGAAAATGTTCAGAAATATTTAATAACGATTAATCAGCATAATTTATATACATAAAGATAAAAATAATAGTATACCGCAGTAATTCGAAACACAGCTGATCGAACGGAACGCAACCTGTCATCGTCAGCATGATCGTAAACAGTAAAACGCGATTTAAGAATGGAAATATCGTTAAATAATACGAACCTAATTAATTTAGAAATAGTACGAAATGTAGATAAAAATAATATTATTTCATTTTTGGTATTAAGAAATGAAAAGATCGGTCATAATATGAATCATTTTGCATAGACACGTAGAATTGCATCTCGTCGTTGCAGTGTGCGTCGTGCACTGAGAAGATAATTGCTCCTAAAATGGCACAGGGTAACGTGATCCCCATCTTGATACAAAAATAGGATACCTCACTTGTTCAAGTGAGAGTTTCTTTTTCTCTCTCTTTCTCTCTCTCTCTCTCTCTCTCTTTCTTTCTTTCTTTCTATTTTTTTGTTTTACTTTCTTGCAAATTTCATTACAAAGATGAGATTTTAATCATTTTTTTGTTGTTGATAATGAATACTCAAATTCAATAGGTGTAACTTGTTGCAACGTTATACAATATTATTTTTATTTTACTTAAATCATATGTCATTTTAAATTCGTTAATTTCATTAATATTTTCTTCGAATAAATTTTATTCCAAAAGATAACCTAATTTCAATCGAAAGTAATCACTTCAGTTAAGTTCAATTATAACTTAGTGCTATTTTTATTCGAATCTTCTTGAAATTCTTGCCCCCATCGAGTTACCGTTCCCTTTGAAAACACGTTTCCACGAGTATCCAGGGATGTGGGGAAGGGGAAAGATGCATAAAAAGGGAAACGAAAGATGCAAGACGCAAAAGATTATTGTCAACGAGGGATTAGATTCTTAGTTGGTTGTCAAAAGTGTTGTTCAATTAAATCATTTGTTTTTGAACGTGGAATTAGGATCGTGGAATTAGGATCGTGGAATTTTCCAAAGAATTTATATATATATATATACAAATATATATATGTATATACACACACGTGTAACACAGTTTGTAGATCATAATTTAATGATAATATAAAATCTTTTTGGAAAATTCGTATTGGCCGAATACTTTGGCCAAATTCCAAACAACAAAACAACGAAATATTCCTAATCGCGTTAGCTGATTTCATTTGCGATGAAAAGTAATGTAATTGTGCCAAAAAATAAAAAAAAAATAACACCTTTATAATCATATCCCAAAGGAAAAATATTAATACACGTGATTAATGCGTTTGAAATCAAATTGTAGGTAAAGGTAATTACCAACAATGCCAAATAAATTCTAGCACCTGTTCTTATCGATATTTTAAGAAATGTTAGAGAAAAATATTTAATGTTTTGTTTTTTTGTTTTTTTTTTTCTAAATTACCACGCGAAGAAAATTTTCGTTTCGATAGAATAAAATTAAATCGAAACGAATGTTTTTCAATAATCACGTGTTTAAGTAATTTTTTAATTAATGATAATAATTACAAATAGATTCGTCTAACGGCAAATCTAACGATGAGAAATTTCTAACGATTTTTATTTCGATGTTGAATAAAATATTATATTCGAAGTAAAGGGGGGATGGAAAAAGAGAGAGAATGAGTGCGAGCGAGTGAGTGAATGAGAAAGACAAAAATTAACGCTATGAGCTATTTTATTTTGGTCAATGATTGATTTAGCGTGACGATGAACATGATAAACATGACGAACATAACGAACATCATAAATTTCCATTCTCATATAAGAAAATAAACCAAAAAAAAGCGTATTACGAATATGACGAAATCAAATGAATATTAATTAATAATCTTTACCGATTAAAATTACGAAAAAATTCGTATAACAGTAGAACAATGTTAAAATAAATAATTTCTATGGATTTCTTTTTTTTGATTTGGGGGGGGGCAGGGAGGGGGGGGGATCAAAATATTCTACGATTCGAAATAATTTTTTTCGCGAGTAGACAAAATAAAATATGAGTATTCGAAGTAAACGGGGGGAGGCATGGAAAAGAGGGAAAATGAGTGTGAGTGAGTTAGTGAGAGAGAGAGAGAGAGAGAGAGAGAAAGATTAACGCTATGAGCTATTTTATTTTGGTCAGTGACTGGCTTTGCGTAACGATGAACATGATTGGTCGAGGTACGCAACCATCCGGCATAGACACGTAGCGTCGGGACGCTATGCGACGACGTTTGGTGCCGAGCAACGCAAAGATGGTTGCTCCTAAAATGGCCCAGGGTAACGCGATCCCCATCTGGATACAAAAATAGGATACCAACCTTCTTCAACTGTGATACATTCCTCTCTCTCTCTCTCTCTCTTTCTATCTCTTTCTATCTGTTGCTCACTCTCATATGTATACGACATATTTTTTTTTTCCTATTTATTTTTTATTTTTATTTTTTTTTTTTAATTTATTTATTAAAACACTTTACCACAAAACCCTTACTCATCCTCCTTATTTTATTTTATTTTTTTTTTCTCTCTCTTTTTTTTTTTTTTACTTTTATTCACATGCAAGTGACAGTGCATACTTGACCTTCGAAAATGACAGAGAAATGAAAGAAACAACAACGTAAGATCATTTGGGGTCTAGTCACCCCCCCCCCCCGTCTGTTGCACGTTTGTTTCATCGATCATTCTTAACAACGTTACGAAGGTCTCTCTCATCGTATAGAATTATTAAAGTAACATTATTTTTTAGATCGCGAGTAGAAATTCTTTAAATAGAATATTTATGTGTTACTACGGGATTATTTAATTAAATGATTATTATATTGTCATACGCGAAGAATGAAGTCATTTTATTATACCACGCGACAATAACACATACATCATGAATAACTATAGTGTATTCTTAATCGTTATTGTTCTTAATAGACAATTAAGATAACTATTTGAAGGGGAGGGAAATTTTTAACTAACGGATTTATTTCAATGATGTTTTAAGATGCAGATAATAATAGATTCGTTATACCTTTTTTTTTTTTTTCTTTGTTATTAACCGATATTAATTTGTCTCGTTATAATAGTCTCGTGCGGTTCGAGATACACCAATTTGTTTTTTTTCTTTTTTTTCTACAACGCATGTGCTTTCAAATCTAATGAGCAAATTGGCTTAATTGCGAGGCGTCAAAAGTATTCCCATGAAAACGTACGATAGCCATGATGCGTGACGATAACAGGAAAAACGGCGTAAACGGTTCGTTTCCTCGATTCGTTCTACCCTACTACTTCAACGGAATAAAAATACACACACACACACATACGCATATATATATATATATATCATTATATATATTGTTGTAAACTTAAGCGCGAAAATAAGTTGAAAAAAAAATATATATTGGAAAAAGGTTAATTAGATAATGGGAGGGAAAAAAAAAACAAATGTAAACACGTTGTTATAATTTTAATCGAATTATATTATATATTGTTAATCTTTTTTTATTTTCTATTTTACAGTTCAAGGGGAAATAGTGATGCAAACGGCACCAACGATACCAACGTAAGTTATACGTTATATTATAGATAATTAGATAAATTAATTATATTATTATGTATATAGATTATTATCATTATAGATAATTAGATTAACACTAGAACTACGAACTGGTCAAAATGACCGGTTGCATCATTTATTTATACCATTTCCTCAAATATTCCTATTTAATATTTTACGATAATGTCATGATTTTTATTAAATTTGTGTATAGAATAATATTATAGATTATTTATTATCGTAAAATATTAAATAGGAATATTAGAGGAAATGGTATAAATAAATGATGCAACCGGTCATTTTGACCGGTTCGTAGTTCTAGTGTTAATTAGATAAAGAAAAAAAAAACAGAAAGATAAATAAGAAATGAATATTGTTTGTATATTTGTAGATTTACCGGCAGACCAGGTGATCCGTCGCCACCGGTTTTCGAACAGATATTTAAAAATGCAAGATTTGCTCAAGGTGGTAATGCCATATTCGAGGGATGCGTACGTGGTAATCCAAAACCTAACGTTTCTTGGACTCACAAGGGTGTACCTTTATTGGAATCACGAAAAATTCGGATGTCTTATGACGATAAGACCGGTATTGTTACGTTACAAATCAATCAAATAGGTCCGGGAGATGAGGGTGAATATACGTGTAGTGCCAAAAATCAATACGGTAAATTTCAAAATGAATTTTTGATTCATAAAATTCAACAACGTATTTGCGAAAAAATTGAATGATTTCTAATTGTAATCATTTGGATATAATTTTGATTAGGAGAAGCAATCTGTTCTGTATACATTCAACCTGAAGGATTCGGTGCTCCGCCTCAACAACAACAACAATTAGGTAGTTACAAAAAGGAAATTACACAAAGTTTCCAAACGACCGAACAAAAAACTGGCAGCCAAAGTTTCCAACAACGCAGTTATCAGCAAACCTACGACAAACGAAGTTACGTTAATGGAACATCTAGTATCGAAGATTTTAAGGTAATTTATTCATTACGTATAATTATTTGTTTAAATAATATATTGTACAAATTGTATTGTATTAAATATTGATTACAAATATTTTTCTCGTATTTCTAGGTGGACACTTTCGAATATAGATTATTGCGCGAAACCGAATTCCGAGAATCGATTACGCGTCGTTTCGTTGGCGAATCTGACGCGCAAATTTCAACGGTGATTGATCGCAGTTTGGGTCCGGTTGCACCCGCGCAAATTACCCAAAAACCGAGAAATTCGAAACTCATTGAAGGATCCGACGCCGTTTTTACCGCTAAAATAACAGGAAATCCAAAACCAAGGGTAATATTTTCATCGAATTTTGCTTAAATATTAAATCATAATAACGGAAAAAGTTCAAATAGAATTATATATATTTATATGTTTTCATGATTATTTTTCAGTTGACTTGGTTTAAAAATGGTCAAAGGATTCGCGAATCGCAACGCGTTGAAATGAGTTATTCGAATCAGCAAGCAACATTGAAGATCAGGGTCGCTTTACCGGAAGACAGTGGTCATTATACATTACTATCTGAAAATCAACAGGGTTGCACAGTAAGCTCGGCATATTTAGCCATTGAATCTAGCGATCAAGTGGATCAAGCTGTGCATCAGATGCAACAAAGAGAAATCGTGAAAAGTCAACAGATAGATTCTTCGTCATCGGAATCAGAAACCGGTAAAGTTCTTCCGCCTAATTTCGTTCGTACTTGCAATGATCGAGAAGCTACCGAAGGAAAGATGACAAGGTAAATTAAAAAAAAAGGGTTCTATATAATTGATTAAAGAATATAATAATAATAATTCAAGTATAAATATGAAATAATGAAAATATATTAATTGTATATAGATTTGATTGTCGTGTAACTGGTCGACCATATCCAGAAGTAACATGGTACATCAATGGTCAACAAGTAGCCAACGATTTAACACATAAAATTCTGGTCAACGAATCTGGTAATAATTCCCTGATGATTACCAACGTTAATCGCGCAGATGCAGGTGTCGTAACTTGTATTGCGAGAAACAAAGCTGGGGAAACGTCATTTCAATGTAATCTCAATGTAATCGAAAAGGAACAAGTTGTCGCACCAAAATTCGTCGAACGTTTTACGACCACCAATGTTAAAGAAGGCGAACCTGTGGTATTTATGGCACGTGCGGTTGGTACTCCAGTTCCACGAATCACCTGGCAGAAGGTAAACAACAACAACAAAATAGATATTATTAAATCATTAAGTATGAAGTGTTTGATTTCGAATTGAAAGTATAGTAGTAGGAATAATACTTCATATTTAATGACGTAATAATATATTGAACCAATTTTAACGATAGTTTAATTGTTTTATTATATTTTATAGGATGGTGTACCAATTGCACCAGGTCCAGACGTGCGTATATCGATGGACGGCAGTGGAGCTTCAACATTGGATATACCTTGTGCCAAATTTTCCGATGCCGCTTGGTATCAATGTACAGCACAAAATGTTGCTGGTTCCACTGCAACCCGAGCACGGCTTTTCGTAGAAACACCTAAGGGAGCCGCACCTGAACCAAGACGCTTGAATTTACCCCGACCGACTAAAATCATCGAACCTGAGTAATTTCATTATATTTAATTATTAAATCATTCACATTTTCGCGATAAATTATCTCATACGTATTATCTTTTTTTTTCTTCTAATGCTTACTCTATTCTATTATTAATTAAAGGAAATTAAAGGTATAACAATAAATCTTTCATCTATAAATTAAATTCTTCAATATAATTGATTGAATTTTATGAAAAAAAAATGTTACAGACCAACACCTGGCCCCGAAGTGATTTACCTGAGACACGTAGAACGTGCCAAACCTTATTTACCACCACCCGAGGAAGATAAAATTTATTCGCCGCCACGTTTTATCATACCGTTGAGAGACGTTCATCAAATAGAAGGTGGACGTATTCACTTCGAGGCCAGAATCGAACCGGTGGGTGATCCCACTATGAGAGTTGAGTGGTATGTAAACGGAAGAGCTTTAGACGCAAGTAAGTTATTTTATATTTATAACATAATGTATATAATATAACAATTTGTTAGATTTATATTAAAAATATATATTTAAATAAAATTTGTAGGTTCACGAGCTACATCAATCTTCCGATTCGGCTTTATTTCTCTTGATCTGATCAGTATAGTACTTCAGGATAGTGGCGAATATCTTTGTCGCGTTGTTAGCTCTACCGGAATTGCCGAATCTCGTGCCACTCTTAGCGTGACACGTGAGTTTACACACTTTGAATTATTTCAAATGAATGAATCAAAAGTTTATGCTTTCATTGTATTGAAATTTTTCTTCTAAACTGTATAATGGGATATTTTAATGAAAAATATGTACGAACTTTTGATTCATTCTAATGTTACAAATACATTTGACGACTAATGACAATTAATGTTTGATTTTTAGCACGCGCTACGATCGAGCAAGCTAGCCAACACCCCGACAGTCTTCAATATATCCAACAGCTGGAGGATTATAGCAAATATCAAAGGCAGGAGAGCGTGGAGGAGATATCTTCTTCCCAACGACCGGTCTTCATCCGACCACTCCAGGATCTTGGTGAGCTACAGGAAGGTCGAAACGCTCATTTCGAGGGCCAATTGACACCTGTTAGCGACCCCACCATGAAAGTGGAGTGGTACAAGGATGGTAGACCAATCACAGCTAGTTAGTATTAGAAAATTGATAATAATATTTTATTATCAAATTTATATTTATTAATTTTACTTTTTTTTTTTTACTTTAGGTTCAAGAATCACAACCATCTTCAACTTCGGATACGTCTCGCTCAATATATTGCACCTACGGGCTGAAGATGCAGGTTCTTATACAGTGAAAGCTATGAATCGTTTGGGAGAAGCTATCAGCTCCGCGACTCTTCGTGTCTTTGGTAAATTATAATAAATATAAAAACACAAAAACAAAATCGTTGATTAAATTCACAGTGTACTAATTGTCAGTAACATTAAGTATCAGTATAATGTGAAATGATTTAATGATTAATAATTTTATCGATCGATATTACAGCTAGAACTAGTGTTACAACAGATTTAGGTATTCCTGAGCAACAGAGATATATTGAAGCTGCCGAGGAATTGGAAGCTTATCAACAGGCTATTCATCAAAAATATGTCCAAGAACAGCCTGAACCGACTAGCCCACCGGAATTTAAATCTCCTATTAAGGATCAAAACGGAATACGAGAAGGTGGGTTTGCCCATTTCGAGGCCCGTTTAGAGCCAGTTGGGGACGCTGATTTACGCGTCGAATGGCTCAAAGATGGACGCCCTGTAGAAGCCAGTAAGTATATTTATTAAATAAATCAAATTATATGAATGAGAAATATTTCATATTGATTATTAATCGTATCGTTTTATTTCTTTTCAATAAGGTTCACGAATTACTACATTCTTTAATTTTGGCTACGTTGCACTCACTATTAAATACGTGACGATACATGACGTTGGTATTTACACGTGTCGTGCTTATAACAGAGTTGGGGAGGCCCATACTACTGCTCAATTGAGCGTTATTAGCAAAAACGATGTCATTTATGACAGTCAACATCCTACCGGACTGCAAAGAATTCAAACTCTCGAGGATTCGAGCAAATATATGCGTCAGGTGCAAGAAGAAGTACAGGTTAAACAAGCACCACGTTTCTTAGGTACGCTGAAAGGGACTAATAAAATTGTAGAAGGTCAACGTGCCCACTTTGAAGCCCGAGTCGAACCTCAGAGTGATCTTACTATGAAAATCGAATGGTATCATAATGGCAAACCCATTACTGCTGCTAATAGGATTCAAACTTATCATGATTTTGGATACGTAGCTATTGATATTCTTCAAGTTAGACCTGAAGATGCTGGTACATATACGGTGGTTGCAAGAAATGCTTTAGGTGAAGCTCAACTTTCGGCAACCATGATCGTTGAAAGTGAGTATTATATTTTTTTGTATTTACTCTTTAAAAGGATTATACTTAACTCACAAAACAGGTTCAGAAATAAAAGTATATCTTACATTTGAATTAAATAACAATTGGATATATTACGATCATTTGTTTAGCACGTTCAAGCGTGGATACAAGCAGTATGCATCGTGGTACTTTTGAAAAAACTCAACGTCTCGAAGAATCCAAATTTATCGAACCGCAGTATCACATCGAAGAGATATCTAAATCGAAGCCCATTTTCGTTCAACCATTGAGCGATCCAAAACCAGTGAGCGAAGGAAAAAATATTCATTTGGAGTGTCGTTTAGAACCAATGGGTGATCCAACTATGAGAGTAGAATGGTTCCAAAATGGACGACCCGTAACAGTTGGCTCTAGGTTCAGAACTTATTACGATTTTGGATTTGTCGCTTTGGATATTGTACACTCGACTGCTTATGATTCGGGAGAATATACTGTTAGGGCTACCAATCATCTCGGTACTGCTCATACTTCAGCATGCGTCAGAGTTATCGGTAGATCTGACGTTGTTACGGAAACTCAAAATGAACAATCGCTTGAACAAATTCAAATGTTAGAGGATTCCTCCAAGTTAGTTAAATTCCAATGATATGCCAGTTTGATCGAATAAAATGACAACAATTGAAATGATTTTCTTTTGTTTTTTTCTTAGATATCGTAAAACTCAACAAGAGGAAGTTACCGTAATGCAAGCACCTCAATTTACACGAGCATTGCATAACATCGAAACTGTTGAATTAACCAATGTTCATCTCGAGTGTCGCCTTCAACCAGTAGGAGATGCAACAATGAGAGTTGAGTGGTTCGTTAATGGAAGACCTGTTAAAACTGGACACCGGTTTAGGCCCTCTTATGAATTCGATTACGTTGCATTGGATATCCTTGGTGTATATCCTGACGATTCTGGAGTTTATACTTGCCAAGCAACTAATCAATTGGGTGAAGCTGTCACCTCGTGTTCGGTACGAGTACACGCTAAGAAGGATCTCTTGTTAGAATCTCAACATCCAGAAGGTTTAGAAAGAATACAATACTTGGAAGATGCTTCGCGATACAAAAGACACGAATTGGTTGACGAAGTTGTAACCGTTAAACCGAAATTCGTAACTAGTCCAAAGAATCAAGAAAATCTTCGGGAAGGACAACACGCTCATTTCGAGTGCAAACTTGAACCCGTAACTGACTCCAATTTGAAAGTCGAGTGGTATAAAAATGGTCGTCCAGTTACAATAGGTAAACTATTCGTTTTCGTGTTAATCAAAAACAATTGGATTTATACCATAAAAATATTGATACAAAGTATAATCCATTTGTATCGTATTTTTGTTTTTAGGACACCGATTCCGTCCAATTCATGATTTCGGTTACGTTGCGTTGGACGTGATCGATTTAATTGCTGAAGATTCTGGAACTTACACTTGCCGTGCCGTTAATCTTGTCGGTAGCGATGAAGTATCCTGCACGTTGTCTTGCCGTTCAACGGCACAAATTTTAACGGATACGCGAAACGAAAGTGGTCTTGAACAAATCCATTATCTCGAGGATCGTTCCAAGTATCATCGGCAAGAGGTTATCGAAGAAACTACGACGCAGGCACCGATATTCACTACTTCTTTGAACAACGTGGAAATAAAGGAAGGACAAAGGGCTCATTTCGAGTGCAGACTTATACCAGTCTCAGATACGACAATGAAAGTCGAATGGTTTCATAATAATATGCCGGTTAAGGCTGGATCAAGATTTGTTGAGACCAACAGTTTTGGTTTCGTTGCATTGGATATCATGTATGCGTATCCAGATGATTCTGGTACGTATACTTGCCGTGCTAAAAACATCATTGGTGAAGCTATTACATCAGCAACTGCTGTAGTACATTGTAAGTATAAAAATATTGAAAAGTATCTGTTAGCCAAATAAAAATGTATTATTTAAATTTTAATACTCGACAGCGAAAAAATCAATTTACATGGAATCCCATAACGAGGAAGCTTTGGAACGACTTCGTTACTTAGAAGATACATCGCGTTACCAACGTAAAACAGTTCAAGAAGAAACTGTCACTCAAGCACCAGTTTTTACAATGCCGATCAAAGATTTACGCGTTGCCGAGAATCAAGCGGCTCACTTCGAAGCACGTGTCATTCCGGTTGGTGATTCCAAACTCAAAGTAGAATGGCTACGTAATGGTGTACCCATTGCTGCTTGTAAGTTACAAATTTTGGATACAAAAAATCAGTCATTTTCTATCACGTTTTCAATCGTTTATATTATACATAAATATTTAATATTTCTCTAGCAAATCGTGTTACAACTATGCACGATTTCGGATACGTCGCTTTGAACATGAAGTATGTCAATCCTGAAGATTCTGGTACTTATACTTGTCGTGCTACAAACGATTTAGGAGAAGCCGTAACTTCGGCAACACTTTTCGTACAATGTAAGTAAATAATTGGGTAAAAGTAAAAACAATCGGGATTGCTTAATTAGCAAATTCATTATTATAATTAGATGTTTGTTAAAGCTTTTGCTGTATAAAGGATACGCTTAATTGCAAAATGTTGTTTATTTTAAAGTTAGTACAAATTATCGCTACTTTTTGTGAAATCATCTGAACAATTTGTTTCATCGTAGATATGTGATACTATTATTCACGTACCATTTTTTGTTGTTGTTGATATTTTTGACACAATTTTTGAACACTGAGGGACAAACACGTTCGCTGTTCAGGGGAGGGGAACAATATTATATAATTTTCATGAAACAAAAAAAAAGAAAAATTAAAACATCATTTATAAATAATCGGTAATTACGTAACAACAAATTACACTGACCAAATAAACTCTATCCCACGACACAGCAAAAGCAGCCCTGCAATTCGAGTCGCAACACGAAAGTTCTTTGTCGAAACTCCAAGCCTTGGAGGATACCAGCAAATATCAACGTCGCGAGGAGGAAGAAATAGTGGTGAAAGAAAAGCCCTCGTTCACGGTTCAATTGAACGGACCTTCGAAGTTAGTCGAAGGACAAAGTGCACATTACGAGTGCCGCATAGAACCCTATCCTGATCCGAACATGAAGGTGGAGTGGTTCCACAATGGTAAACCACTGTCCACCGGTCACAGGTATAGAACAGCTTGTGACTTTGGCTTCGCATCTTTGGACATTCTGACAGTTTACTCTGAGGATTCCGGCACGTACACCTGCCAGGCCACCAATAAACTGGGATCGGCCAAGAGTTCGATAAATCTTGAAGTTAAATGTGAGTAAAATAAATGTGAGAAACAATCAAAAAACAAAAGAAAAAAAAAAGAAATATAATATCAATGATATATATTATATATATATATATATATATGATAACATATTTTGGATCGTTAGGTACTTAGCTTAATGCTTCTTTATCTTTCCAATAAGTATTTCGCTTTTTCCAAACATCCATATCTTCGACTCCATTGTTACAAATTATAATTGGATAAGATATTTATATCAATATAGATTTGTGCCGATGCAGCGAAGATTTCTTGTTGTTCACTGTGCGTGTATGTTTATGTGTGCGTACGTGCGTGCGTGCGGGGACAGTAGGTGGATTTATCCTTGCATAGATTCCCTTATTTTTTCATTTTTCAGTTTAGTCATTTTAGTTGATCCATCCTTTTTTGTCTTGTTGTGCACATACCTTATGTCTTTTTATTTTTGTTTATTGCTTGCAAATATCATTCCACGTACGCGAATGACATTATAAGAAAGTTTAACAATTGTGTTATGTCTGTCACGTTTATCCAATGTAACACAATTTGCTAATTTTTTGCAGCACGTTCCTCTATCATTCGCGAAACCCAACATGAAAGTGCTCTTAAGAAGATACAATATCTCGAAGATGATTCTCGTTACAAACGTACCGAGGAAGAAGATTTAATAATAGCTGAAAAACCTAAATTTGGTAGACCATTGAAGAATATTGAACATTTACCTGAAGGCAAAAGTGCACATCTCGAGGCTACGTTAACGCCCGTTAATGATCCAACGATGATCGTTGAATGGTTCAGAGATGGAAGACCCGTACCACAAGGACACAAATTTAAAACTACTTATGATTTTGGTTACGTTGCTTTGGATATACTTTATGCTTACCCAGAAGATTCTGGTACTTATATGTGCAAAGCCAGGAACGCTGTTGGCGAAGCTGTCACCACGTGCGTCATCAGCGTTGACTGTAAGTTCAACACAAAAAAAATTAATAATAATATAAATTTATCAGATATTTTTTATATTATATCAACACACACGTATATAAAAGTATTATCATGAAATTTTTATACAAACGTATTTTTTTATTACAACCATATAAATAATACATTTTTCTCTTATTGAAAACAAACGAAAAACGTACGTCAAAAAGATCATTGACAAAATTGACAAGTATACAATGAACGTGTGTCAATATTATTAAAAATGAAAAATGAAAATAAAATATTCAAGATGATGGATGATTAACTGTTAATGCTGTGATATTTTTTTGGGTTTTATTTGTAGCCAAGCAAGGTCTCTACCTGGATACTTTGGATGCTCAACGTTTGCAAAAGATTCGTGAATTGGAAACTGTTGAGATCAAGGAAGAAATTGAAAAGGAAGTTGTACATCAAAAGCCTGTATTTTTAACGCCGTTGAACAATCTGGATCATCTAAAGGAAGGTGAACACGCTCATTTAGAATGTCGCGTAGAACCGATCAACGATCCAAACTTGAAGATCGAATGGTACGAATAATACTTTATTTATTAGGTTAATTTTAATGTTTATATAAGATAGATTAATTTAAATAATATTTAAAATTGTTTAGGTTTGTAAACGGAGTAGCGGTAAGGACTGGTCATCGTTTCCGTACAACACATGATTTTGGTTATGTTGCTTTGGACATATTGTATACTTATCCAGAAGATTCAGGAACTTACATGTGCAAAGCAACGAACTTGGCTGGAGAAGCAGTAAATACCTGCAAGATTAAAGTTGGCTGTAAGTGCATATTTTATTTCATAGTATAATATATTACTTTGAAAAATATATATTAACAATTTACATATGTGTTTTCACGATCAGCAAAATCAAATAAACATCGTCCTCCTGATTCCCATCTTCAGAAAAAACGACCCTACCCAATTTATAGAAATGAATTACCACAATTTTCCAAATCTCAAAACAAATTTGATGAACATTTACGAAAGTCTATCGATACTAATGAAAATATACGAAAGGATTGTTGTTTCCTATCTTGTAAATCCATCGAACCTAACACGTATCATTATAAAAAATCATTTCCAAACAAAATGTATTCCCATTCACCTAAAATAACTATGCACGATTCTAACAAACACTGTCCTGTAAGACGTATTACATTTAGACGATGACAAGATGATAATATTATTATTATTTCAAGTTAGTGAAGTTTATTGTCAAATCAACAAATTTGGAATTTTTCAAGTGAAACATTTCCAAAATTTAATAAATAATCTGAAATTTTTTTGCTTTCATTCAGCTCGTCGCAGTATACTTTTGGACACTCAACATCCGGATGGTCTAGAAAAGATTCGTGAACTCGAAGCACAAGGTCATCCTGCTAGATTGGAAGTGGAGGAACCACCAGTAACCCCGCCCAGATTTGTTTCCGAACTTAGGGTATTCGAAATTTCTAAAAAATTAAAACAATAGTATCAAAAAAAAATGAGATCATCAGATGCCAATAAATGGATGATTATTTTTATAGGGTACCACTGAAGTTTACGAGGGTCAAACAGCCCACTTTGAATGCCAAGTGGAACCACTTCACGATGCCAATTTACGAATTGAATTCTTCCACAATGGCAAACCATTACCATCAGCATCCCGTTTCCATATGACATTTGATTTCGGATACGTGGCATTGGATATCAGTCACGCAGTACCAGAAGATGCAGGACAATATTCTGTTAAAGCAATTAATGCATTAGGACAATGCGTATCTTCAATCGAACTTAAAGTAATACCCCGTGACAATATAATCTTGGATTCACAAAGACCAGAAGGAATGGACAAGATTAGGGAGCTTGAAGCTCAACAACCATGGAAAAGACCAGACGTACCGGAACCACAAACTAGACAACGACCTGTCTTTACACAACCCTTACAAAATATCGATGCTATACCAGAAGGTCACACAGCTCATTTCGAATGTAGATTGATACCTGTTGGTGATCCTACTCTAAAAGTTGAATGGTTTAGGAATGAAGTACCTTTGGAAACAAGTATGGGAAATAATATTTCTTTAATTACAGAATATTAAGTAAATTATTCTGAGTACTACAAAATGTTCTTTTTATCACAGGTTCTCGTATAACAAAGGTTCACGATTTTGGATACGTGGCTTTGGATATTACGCATGTTCGCGATGAGGATGAAGGTGTTTACATGTGTCGTGCTTCTAATCCACTTGGAGAAGCAGTTACTACAGCATCGATGAAAATTCGAAGTTAGTTTTCTTCTATCACGTTTTATATTGTATCTTATATAATATATATAGTTTTCAATAAGACATTTTATTATTTTCTTTTTTGTATATATTTAGCTAAGGCCAGTATACAATTGGATACTCAACACCCAGAAGCACAACGTAGAATTGCTCAATTGGAAGCTGATAAAGGACCTAGTCGAGCTGAAGAACCAGATAAGGTTTTCGACAAGCCTATATTTACGCAATTATTAACTGGACCTACAGAACTTTGGGAAGGTCAGCTTGCCAGATACGAATGTAGAGTCGTACCCGTGGGTGATGCCAGTTTAAGATTTGAATGGTACATGAATGGAGTCGAGTTGAAAATGGGTAAGTTTTGTAAATCCTTTAACAAGTATTTATTTTCGTGCTTCAATTACGATACTAATAAATTTTAATGTTAATTAACAATTACAGGATCTCGCTTCCATGTAAATCATGATTTTGGTTATGTAACATTGGACATATTGAAAGTAATATCGGAAGATTCTGGTGTATATACTTGTAAGGCTATTAACAAAAGTGGAGAAGCTGTTTCATCAATTTCATTAAAAGTTAAAGCACGTTCTGCTATCGATGCTCAAAGTATACAACCGGACGCATGGCAAAAGATTCAATTAAAGGAAGCGGAGATGAACAAGGTACCAGAGATGTTTGTTGATACAACACCACAACAAGCACCAGTTTTCACTAAACATTTGGAAAGTTATGATAAATTGATCGAAGGACAACACGTTTATCTAGAAGCTCAAGTAGAACCAAGAGCTGATCCTAATTTGCGAGTAGAATGGTTCAAAAATGGTATATCTTTGCAAACCGGTACAAGATTACGTAGTACATTTGATTTTGGTTTAGTTACGTTGTCCATTAACGGTTTGAGACCAGACGATTCAGCAATTTATACCTGTAAAGCTACGAATTTACTTGGAGAAGCAGTGTCTACCTGTAGTTTGAAAATCGTTGATCGTCATTGGCTTCTTGGTGATACTCTTCACCCAGACGCATTACCTAAAATCGATGCACTTGAACAACCACAGATTGGTACTACCGAACAACCTGAACCAACATATGAAGAACCAGTTTTCATAACCCATTTGAACAATGTCGAATGCGTCGAAGGTGACAACGTTCATTTCGAGTGTAACGTAGAACCATCGAAAGACCCAACTATGAAAATTGAATGGTTTATGAATGGGAAACCATTACCAACTGGTGCACGATTTAAATCAACTTATGATTTTGGATATGTTGCACTCGATATTACGCATAGCTACGAAGAGGATTCAGGTATCGTAACGGTTAAAGCAACTAATTCTAAAGGAACGGCACAAACATCGGGTACTCTTAAATGTACAAGCAAACAAAGTATTTACCTGCAAACTCAACATCCGCAAGGTGAAGCTGGATTGGAAAAAGTTAAAGAAGCCGAAGATGCATATTTATCCAAATACAGGAGACCGGATGCTAAACCTGAACATGAATACCCCAAACCAATTTGGACTGTACCCCTTCAACCGGAATTCAAGTTAGGTGAATCTGAACCTCTTCATTTGGAAGGTCAAGTTGAACCAAAAGATGATCCCGATTTGAAAATCGAATGGTATTTCAATGGCAAAGCTTTGGAACACGGTGCCCGTTTCAAAATGACCAGCGATTTTGGTTTTGTCACCTTGGATTTGACCGATGTTTACGATCGAGATTCTGGTATTTATACTTGCAAAGCGTATAACAAAGTTGGAGAAGCTTTTACATCTACGACAGTATACTGTTCGACTAAAGAAAGTATTATCGAAAAATCTCAACATCCGAAAGGTAAGGAAGGTCTCGAAGCCATTCAAGATCTTGAGGAATCACTTAAACGACAGGAAGGTGGTTTACCTGAAAGCGAAGAAGGACATCCACCTGTTTTCACATCGCAATTCGAGAACCTGACCAATCTATCCGAAGGTGAGATTGCTCATTTCGAAGCATCATTAACACCGACTGGTGATCAAACTATGGTAGTCGAATGGTTCTATAATGGAAAATCATTAGAAGCTAGTCATCGTACTAGAACCGTTTACGCATTTGGTATGGTCGTATTGGAAGTTCTCGGAACTAAAATCGAAGATTCAGGCACTTATTCTTGTCGAGCTACGAACAAATGGGGTAAAGCGGAGATCAGTGTTCAATTAGAATGCGTAGACAAGTCTAAAGGACAAAAACCTAAATTCACCACGCATATACAATCATTGGAAGGTCTGAAAGATGGACAATCGGTACATTTCGAATGTACACTTATTCCTGTCGGTGATCCACATATGAAAGTTGAATGGTTCCACAATGGGCAACCGCTCAGACACTCTTCACGTTTCAAGATGGTATCCGATTTTGGATTCGTCGTTATGGACATTGCTGGAGTCATGTCACACGACACTGGGGAATACGTATGCAAAGCAAGCAACAAATATGGCGAGGATTATACGAAAGCAACCATCAAATGTTTCGGCAAGAGTGGAGTATACCTTGATTCACTGCAGCCAGATTCTCTAGCTAGGATTCGTGAACTCGAAAGTTATGGTGGTGAACAACCAACCACACCGACAACTCCTGTTGCCGAACCACCCAAATTTATCACCCAAATTGCAGACATTACGAAACTTGTTGAAGGACAATCTGCTCATTTCGAGGCCAGATTGACTCCTGTTACTGATCCGGATTTGAAAGTTGAATGGTATTATAACGGGAAAAAGTTACCACACGGTCATCGTTACAGAACTTTCCATGATTTTGGTATCGTCATTCTTGACATACTTTATTGTTACGAAGAAAATTCTGGTGTATACGAATGTAGAGCGTTTAATAAGTACGGCGAAGATACAACTAAGGCTACTTTGAAGTGTTTCTCAAAGGCCAGTCTTATTTTGGAATCTCAATTACCAAAAGGAATGGAAGGTGGTTTAGAAAAAATCCAAACCCTAGAGGACTCTATGATTCGTACTAAAGATGAGAAAACAGTCGAAGAACGTGGAAAAGCTCCAGTTTTCACTGTACCTTTGAGCAACATCGATGGTCTTCGTGAAGGTGAAAGTGCACACTTCGAAGCAAGACTTACACCTACCGATGATCCAAGATTAAAGGTAATTAATGTATTTTTTTTCTTTACTTACAATTGATCCATTATTATAATTACTGACATTTATTATTTAATTTGATTAATAATAAATGAAAACTATGTTTACATAGGTCGAATGGTTCTGGAATGGTAAACCACTTCGAACGGGATCACGTTTTCGAACATTCTGTGATTTCGGTTTCGTTATTTTGGAGATCTCACCAATTTACCCTGAAGATTCCGGAGAATATAGTTGTCGAGCAATTAACGATTACGGTGAAGCAGTAACCACATGTACTATGAAATGTACTGGAAAACGTAGCATCATTCTTGAATCGCAATTGCCAAAAGGTATGGAGAGTACGATAGATAAGATAGCTGAACTTGAAGGTCTTGGAAACGAACCTGGGCAACCCAGTCCTGACGATGATACGGGAAAACCACCGGAATTCATCACCACTCCGTCAGATTTAGCGCTTGCTGAAAATTCATTAGCTCATTTCGAATGCAGACTCGTACCCATCAACGATTCAAGTATGAGAGTCGAATGGTTCCATAATGGAAAGCCTCTATTAGCTGGTACCAGAATAAAAACCATTCATGACTTTGGTTTTGTCATTTTGGAAGTAGCCAATTGTTATCAAAGAGATTCTGGACTATACACGTGCAAAGCAACCAATCGTCACGGGGAAGCAACAGTGTCCTGTAAATTGCAAGTTCGTGGTCGTCAGGGTATCATCTTGGAACCACAATTGCCAAGTAATTTCAAAACCGGTACCGAAAGTATCCAAAAACTAGAAGAATCCCTTTACAAGAAAGATGAAATCCTGGCTGAAGAGGAAACACCTAATCCACCAAGATTCATTGTCGAATTAAAAGACATAGAAGTTGAGGAATCTGGTCCAAGTCATTTCGATTGTAGAGTAGAACCAGTCGGTGATCCAACTATGCGTGTTGAATGGTACCACAATGGTAGACCATTCGCAACTGGTTCTCGCGTACATCAAATAAATGACTTTGGTTTTATTTCATTGGACATGTCTTATACATATGCTAGGGATAGCGGGGAATACGTGTGCAGAGCTACGAACAAATGGGGTACTGCAACAACTAAAGCAACCATAACATGTAAATGTAAGTATTTGATAAATAAATACAATCTATATATTTATTTGAAAATATTAACATATTTAAACTAAATATCATATATTTCATTATTTGTAGCCAAGAAAACGATAGATTTCGATTCCCAACTACCATCAGGCATGAGTGGAGAAAAATTAAAGGAATTAGAACGTGGACCTATCAGCGAACCACCAGCTGAGGAAGCACCACGCGAACCACCACGTTTTATTACACAAATTCAATCAGCTACAGTTGATGAATCAGAACCAGTCAGGTTCGAATGTAGAGTGGAACCGAAAGATGATCCTAACTTACGCATCATATGGTACAGAAATGGAAAGCTTATTCCAGCAGGTCATAGATATAGAACAGTATACGATATGGGTTTCGTATCCATGGACATTTTATACGTATATCCTGAGGATTCTGGTGAATACGTGTGCAAAGCTATCAATGATCTTGGTGAAGACACTACAAAAGCATCCGTGTCTTGCAAAAGTACGTATTTTTTTATCAACAACAATTTTCCACTAAGTTTTAATAAATATATATTTATCAATATACAATTATTATTTCAGAACTTCCAAGTATCATTCTTCAAAATCAAGTACCAAAAGGCATGAAGAAATCGGAAGCTTTGATGCAAATGGAAGCAACAATTAAAAAATACACGTCGGAAGTTCATTTGACCGAGGATGATCTTTACGATGCCGATAAAAAACAACCGCCACGTTTCGTTACGCAAATACAGGATCAAGTAGAACTCGTTGAAATGAACAGTACCAAATTTGAATGTCAATTGGCACCAGTAGGTGATCCAAATATGAAAGTTGAATGGTTCTTCAATGGCAAACCGCTTCCTCATAAAAACAGATTCACACCCATATACGATTTCGGTTATGTTGCTATGAACTTTGGTTGGGTTTATCCCGAGGATAGCGGAGAGTATCTTTGCAGGGCTACCAATTTGTACGGGATGGATGAAACTAGAGCAATTATTCGTACGGCAGGTAAACCTGGTATCATTTACGAGTCCCAATTGCCAAAGGGTATGAAGAGTATCGAGAAAATTCGTGAAATGGAAGCAGCATGGCAGATGTAAGATATTTAAATAATATCATTTGTTATATTGTTCAATCGTAATATAAAACTAATATTATAGATTAATATTTGTTTCTTAATATATTTTTAAAGTGTTCCCGAAGATGAAGGTGAAGAAGAAAAAGTACGTGCACCACCGTTGTTCGTTAGCAAACCAGAACCAGTTACGGTTGAGGAAGGTGACTGTTCGAGATTTTGCTGTCGAGTTACGGGTCACCCAAGACCCCGTGTTATGTGGATTCTTAATGGACACACTGTTGTTAACGTATGTGATTTAATTTCGTTGTATTATTCAATTGATTAGATCGTGATATTCCGATAAAATTATATAATATGTTTATTATATTTATATCGTGTTACACAGGGATCACGTTACAAATTGACATACGACGGCATGTATCATCTAGATATACCAAAGACAAGACAATACGATCACGGAAAGGTTGAAGTAATCGCAAGAAGTTCGGTTGGGGAATCACGTACGGAAACGTTCTTAACTGTTAAACAACGTACCGATGATTATCGTGGTGTATTGAAGAATTCACCGAGACGTAAGTTTGCATTTAATAATAAACTATTACACTATTACAAATATGCGAAATTGCATTCTTCGTTTTATCAATATTTTTATACAAATTCTAATTGGTTTTTATATATATATGATTATTATTATGAATATCCTTAATATGAGGAAAAATATTGACGAAGAATGCAAATAGCTAACTGAACAATATACTTAGCATTACCGAACAATGATACAATGACATCAAATAAATGCATGGTAAAAAATACTTGCACATAATCAATAAATAATGATAGGAACAGTAAAGAGGTTACAAAATGCGTACAATCGCAACACAGTACATAAAATATAACGATATGACACATATATATATATAGATACATTTATCAATCTAGAACAAATGACACTTGAGACAATTTGAACACAGTCAAACAGATCTAGCAGATCTATTATCCTTGTTCCCTATTATTCCGATTGATCATCACCTTTTCCTAATAATCATTATGGCAAATCTCGCCTACGAGTACCTTCGCTACCAGCTTCTTCTTCTTCTTCTTCTTCTTCTTCTACTAATTCTTTGGGCTTTTGGAAATCGGACGAGAATTTCGAGCAATGAGACCTTCGAATTACGCATTACGCGATGGATTAACGCAATTCAGGTATGACAAGTCATGGATAGAACATTCGTATTATTATTATTGTTTATTTATTTATTTATTTATTTATTATATTACCACAAAACACCACTGGCCACCACTTTATCATGTTTCACGAATGTTACAGAAACATTAATTATTAACACGGAGAAAAGTATTCGGAATATTTTTCTCCGCGTGTACTCATCAATAATTTTTGATTGATTGATTGATTGATTGATTGATTGTTGCACTGGAGAAAACGGTCTTTATGGCTCTAGTTATTTATTTTTTTCTCTTTTTTTTTTTTTTTTTTTTCACCGTAAACCCACGTAAATTTATTTACGTATTGTTTTACGATCGTGAAAAAATATGAATATTATTTAAAAATATATTTTTGTTCTAACGCATAATATAACGATTATTTAAATTTACAACAGAGCTCCGTATTCCTCAGTGTTTTTCTTTTTTTTTGTGTGTCCTATTATCGTTCATATCTAATTTTCATTTTTATTCTTTTCTAGATTTAGTATTATGCTAGAATAATGTATTTTCTTGGTTTATTTTTGTTCGTTACATTTACTTTGCAAAAAAAAAAAAAAAGAAAAAAAAAGAATTGATTCCTCGTTGGTCCATTTCCTTAAATCTATCTGATGAAATTAAATTCAAATCCATTGTTCTTATTATGTGTCTCAAATAAAATGTGTTCAATGAATGATGATACCAATTATAATATATGAAGTAATATTTGATTAATGAAACAAAAAAGAAATAATGCATTTTCAACTTCCATGATATTACGCCCTTGGAAAATCGAGGTAACCAAAACCTTCACACGAGACGAAGGCTACAGAATGATCGATCTAAGTGTATTATTGTTACTGATGTTATTAAAAATTATGAAATAGAAAAAACAAAAAAAAAAAAAAAACAAAGAGAGACAACAAAAAAAGGTTTGATTCGAACCGTGTTAACACCACGTATTCTAACTCGAATGACAATTTTTTTGTTGAATGTCCACCTCTGTCTCCGATTATTTTCGAATTTGAGAATATTTGTTTCCCCATTACTTTGGAAAGATAGAAAAATGTGTTGCATCGCCAATGGAAGTACTGTGTCGTATTTATTCTGATTTGAAGAAAAAAAAAAAACCCTTCATCGTAGCGAGTACAACGTTCAATTAATAGATCAACGAAAAAAAAACAAAAAATTTGTCAAATTAATTATCTTCAAATTGAAAATCAGATTCAGGAAAAAAAAAGAAAAAAAGAAAAAGAAAACCATATTTTATTCGCGATAATATTAAATTTTTAAATATGAAATACAAAATCGAAATACGTTGTATTCTACGTAATTAAATGAAATTTTTGTCCTGAACAAAATCACACGGGACGAATGTTTTTAAAAAAAAAACCACGAGAGAAAAAAAAAGAACAATAACAACGCGAGAAGAACGGAATGGTCTAATCTATTTGTTCCCTAGCTTGGTACGATTATGGACTAACCCAATACCAATCGGAGAGACAGAACACAGAACTCGAGCGTGTATTCGAGGAACGTCATCAAACAGTATCCCAAGGCGTTGAGATTGCTACAGAACATCTTGGGCAAAAGGTATTCAAAGAACCCGAAGCCGAATGGCAGAAATCGGTAAAGAGTAAAAAGAACGAGGATTATTATCAAAAATTAATGAGCTTGGAGGAAGAACAAGTGTTAAAGGAATCCAGATTGAGAGAATCTTCCCATCAATTTGCCATACCTGGTGACAAAGTTGTATCCAATTCCATGGCCAAAGGAATGGCACAGAAATATCAAGAAAGCCTGTGAGTAATATTTTCAGATTTATTATTATTATTATTATTATTATTATTATATTTGATTATCTTATTAAAAATAATTAAACGAATCGATTGTATATTACAGTGAAACGCAGGATACGAAAGAAACTGTTCAACCACCGACGCAAGTAAAATTCGTGAAGAAACCACACCTGACCGAGGTAGATATAGATAGCGAACGTTTAAAGGGTACAGGAAGGTATCCACCGGAACCTTCGGAATCATTGGTTCATGGAAGAGAAGTACACGTTGCGAAACAGAAACAAACTCAGAAAGAGGTGAAGGGTGATCTCGAAATAACGAGAAAAATAACGGCAACCGAGACAACTGAAGTCGAACACAAAGCTCAAACGCAGGAACGCGTTGTTCAAGGACAAGTTAAACCAGCCAAGCCGCCAGTTTTCACGAAAAAAATTCAACCTTGTAGAGCATTTGAACAGGAACAAGCAAGATTTGAAGTTGAATTTGACGGGGATCCTTTGCCAACCATTAAATGGTATAGGGAAGATTTTCCGATTCAAAATTCGCCTGATCTTCAAATCTATACGTTCAGTACTAAATCGGTATTGATCATACGTCAAGTATTTATGGAAGATTCCGCGGTGTTTTCGGTAATTGCTGAAAATCGTGGTGGCAAAGCTAAATGCAGTGCAAATCTTGTTGTCGAGGAACGTAGAAGACAACCTGGTAGAGGTGGAATCATACCACCAAGTTTTCTATCTACGATACAAAATAGTTCGGTGACAACTGGACAATTGGCACGATTCGATGCCAAAGTTACCGGGACAAAACCTTTGGATGTTTATTGGTTAAAGGTAATTATATCACGCAATTAATTCTTAAAGAATCTTTTTTTATTATTATTGTCCTTTTTTTCTTTTTCTCAACACACGATACACACAATTGTTTGATATATTTGAAATACTTTTATAGAACGGTAAAAAAGTGACGGCTGATATACGTTATAAAACATTGGAAGAAGATAACATTTATACTCTTCTCATTTTGGAAACAATACCAGACGATTCGGGTAAATACGAATGCGTTGCCATCAATAGTGCAGGTGAAGCACGTTGCGATGCCGAATGTACAGTTCGTGGACCACAATCACCAACGAAGACAACAAAACCAACAACACCTGGTGTAGAAAAGGCACCTGCTGTATTGGAACCACTTAAAGATCAAACGATCAAAGAAGGAACTTCCGTGGCATTCGCTTGCAAAATAACAGGAAAACCCGTACCTACTGTTCAATGGAAAAAAGGTGACAAGGTAAATCTATAATAAATAAAATAATCGTCGTTTTTTGTTAAAAATTATTAGAAAATACATAATTGTTAATGTTAATGAATCATATTTTTAGGTAATAAAACCATCGAAATATTTCCAAATGCAAAAGGACGGTGATCTTTGTACTTTGAAAATCACGGAAGCATTTCCCGAAGATGAAGGTGTTTACAAATGTATCGCCAAAAATCCTGCCGGTGATGTTACCACGTCGGCAAATTTGAGAGTACTTGGTAAGAGATCAATATAAGTTAACAATATCAAAATGATTCCCCACCAATCTCGTAAGAAATAATAATTTCATTATTTATATAATAATTCAGCACCAGATGCGGCTGACATTTTGCCGAAATTATCACCGTTGAAAGATCAAATAGTTTCCGAGGGACAACCGGCGCAATTTAAAACTCAGGTTACTCCAGCTAAACCAAAGCCAACGATTCAATGGTACAGGGAAGGTGCCCTTATACCTCAGTCACCCGATTTTCAGGTACAAAACCTTCCCTTATTTAATACGTTCTTTATTCAGTTTTTCACTTTTATGATTACGATAATCATTGACGTGAGTGTCGGTGTGTGTGTGTCGAATTAAAATTAAAACGGGGCCTTACGGAAAAAAAAAAAAGAAATAAAAAAATCGTTTTGTCTAATTACATTTTCAGATGATTCACGAGGGCAACAACGCTGTACTGTTAATTGCTACAACTTACGAAGAGGACACTGGAACTTTCAGTTGCAGAGCTACGACCTCGGCCGGTACCGTAGAAACCTCTGCGAAACTCATCGTCAAAAGTAAGAACTGAATAAAAAAAAAA